GCGGAACAGCAGTCGAAAAAACAAGTACAAGTTTCGGATGAGCCGGAATATTCTGAAAAACTGCTGTTGGTTCGAGGTCTGGCTGCTTTAAACTGCTGCTTCCATGTGCGTGGCATGTGCCTTGAATTTGCGCTCGGGCCAAATGCCTCGCTGCCAAGTTTCAGAGAAGAACGGGCCCTAAAATCCACACTTTCTTGGAGGTTCGTGGGTAGTTGTAAGGGGGTATAAGTAGGGTAACTATGCTTCAAGCCCATAGTATGCTGATAGCAGTTGTATAGCACCCGATGAAAGCATCCAGGGAGTATCTCTTTGTGGCATATGGTGTCCAGTTTGTGCCTGCTTGGAGGTGCATGGGTAGTCATGTAGGGCTATAATTAAGTAGGGTAACTATACTTAGAACCCATATTAGGGGACTTATAACCCCACTTATCGCTACCCATGAACCTCCAAGTGGGGTGTATGTCTACCATGGTTAGGGCACCATCCGCACGGACTTTGGTGCCGGAGTGCGGGCCCGCCATACGCAGTGGTAGACCAGTGCGTCTCCTGTGATGGGAGGCCAAAAGGGGGGGTTTAAGAATCCTGGGGTAGGGATTCCTTAACATGAGCCCTATCATGGGAACCCTAGTCCCTACTAAACCCCCATAGGCTAAAAAAATTTTTGGCCGCCTATGAATCTGCAGGCCTCTCACATCCACATCGGTTTTGTTGAGATATTTAGAGGATCATGGGACTTAGTAAGTAGGTTATAATTGGGGTTATAAGTCCCCTAAGTGGCATTATCCTAATTATAACCTACTTATAACCTTACTTACTAAGTCCCATTCGCCTTCAACTAAGGTTGTGAGTCCCTGATATAGGTCATAAGTACAGCTACCTTGCCTTCCTTATCACCCTGCTTATGACTATCCATGAACCTGAAAGTAGGGTTTAGGGCCAGGCTTCGCATAAATCAGGAAGCTCCTCGATTTCAGAAGACTTCAGAATGCCCCAAGACACCAACCCTAATCCCCAATCAAAGCCCGAGCCCTCTTTCCTAGGGTAAATGGAGGGACCCTTAATAAGGACCCCTAGGTATATACCCTTAATATAGCTATTATATATACCCATTATATAGCCCCATTATAGGGTAGGGGTCCCCATTAAGGGTCCCTCCTCTTCCCCTTTGACTATATCCTACACCCCAAAATCCCGGAACTAATCCTATAAACCTTTGCTGCTGAGCCCTCAAACTGTAGACTCTTGTGGCGCCTACAATACTTGTGAACGCTATGCCTAAACCCTAAACCTAAACCCTAAACCCCTAAACCCCTAAACCTCTAAACCCTAAAACCTCTAAACCTCTAAACCTCTAAACCTCTAAACCTCTAAACCTCTAAACCTCTAAACCCTTAACCCAGAACACCAAGACCCCTAAACCCTAAACCCCTAAACCACCCTAGCCCTTAACCCTTACACCCTAAACCTCTAAACCCCGAAACCTCTAAACGCCTAAACCCCTAAACCCCTAACCACCCCCCCCCCCCTCCGATATTTCGCGCTGAGGCCTGCAAGCTACAGGTCGGGAATCCCAGGTCTAAAAGCGAGGCTACCACATCATCCTGGCATAGCGGAACTCCTGCTTGGCTTTCTTGTTTTAAGGGCTCTTAAACCCTAAACCCTGCTTGGGGTTCTTTGGGGCTTTAGGAGGGCTTCGGGGTTTAGGGCTTCTAGGGTTTTGGATTTAGGGTTTAGTTTGTGATGTTTGGGCTTTGGGGCCAAGCAGTACTTCCGCGATGCCCGGTGCCGATGCGGAGAACAGCTTTAGTGAGCTCACCTTCTGTCGGGATCGGTAGAAGTATATTCTTCAGGGCTTGAGGCGTCAAAAGTCCTCAAAACTGCTGAATCCCGGCCAGAAGGCATGCACCAGGCGCAGCTGAAGAGGGGCCCAAGGCGGCCATTATAGAGGCAAACCTTGTGCTAAGGAAAATGCTAAATAGACATCACCTGGTGACAGCTTTTTCCTCGACCTGGTCTCCCTCGGCTTCCAGTTTATGTTTTGGAGTTTAGGGTTCAGCGCTTCAAACGTCTGTTCGGAAGTTATGAGGGGATACAGATCAGCCAAAGCTAGTGCACTGGCGATTGCCGGCTCAAAATGCAGCCTCCGCGAGGATTTCATGATCATTGCAAAAGTCGATGCCAGAACGGTCGAGAGAACGCAATGCTGCTGCGAAAATAACAGGTCGGCGGCTGCGAGCAGCAATATCTTGGAAACAACAATCCTGCTCACGCTCGGCATATGTTGCACAAAACGCTTGCGCGTAATTTTGCGCGGGCCAATCCAAAATGATGACACGCACTCGCGGCAAACATCCCGCTCCTGCTAAAGCCGGTCGGCGTGAGTAAGTCCTGCCGGCATTATGGTCACGGCCGGGTTTTGGGGTAAAATAAAGGCGCCTTAATAATTAGAAACGGGGTTTGCGGCGCATTCTACTACGATATAACTATAATAAGGAGCCCACGAAATAGTATTAGTAAATATTATAGTACCCCTTGTACTAACCCTTACAGTATCCCTTTGAGGAACCCTTGGAAAGGAGCCTATTAGTAATTAGTACTTGGAGGTTCATGGGTAGTAAAAAAGTAGGAGAATAGCTGGGGTAACTATACATACAACCCATTTTTGTGGACACAAAACCCTACTTATAACTACCCATGAACCTCCAAGTAAGGCCCCTTTTTGTATGGCGCTGTGGAGCTTACGAGCTTCCGGAGCTTCTATTGCTAATTTTCATCAAACACCTCTATCCTCTAAGGGGTTCTATGGGGTCCTTTAAGGGGATTTAGGGGTTCCTTTAAGGGATCCTCTAAGGGATCTATAGGGTTAGGGGATGGGGTCCTCTAAGGGGTTCTATGAGTTCCTAGTGCTAATTTTCATCAAACACCCCTATTTCCTCTTCTTCAGCAACCAGGCCACAAAAAGTTCAAACTTTCTAAGATAGGGCTAATATATATGGCCAAAAAGTTTACAGCTCCCCCGTTCTGAGTTCATAAGCCCCAAGAAGTGTACACTTTCAATTTTTTTAGTGGGTAATATTATCCTAGAAATTATAAAGTGCTTCCACTCAGCTACTAAGTATTAAAGTTGGCCCATAGCCTACCCATACACTCCATTGCAGTTCCTTTTTGCGGCTCATATATAGGATCCGATACGGTAAGCCCTAAAGAGGAACTACGATGGAGTCTCTTTGGTATCTTCCCGGGCCCACGCACCCGACAGTAATTTAGGGTTTAGGTTTTGGTTTAAGGTTTAGGGTTTAGCAGTAATTTAGGGGTCTTGAGAATAAGAATAGCGCATTAGGGTGTTATAGGGCTGTGTATGGGTCTATAGGGTTTGAAAGGGCTGTATGGGAGCCAGAATAACTACAATAGGGTTCCTTGGGGTATGTCGTGTAGAGATATATCACTTGTTCTAGTACATGGTTGGGGTAGTAAGGTTTAAAATATACATAGGTAAGAGAGGTTTCGGGATTAGGAATTAGGGTTTCGGGGTTGGGGTTTTAGGGTTTAGGGATGAGTTTAGCGATTCGGGGGTCTTGAGGGTGTTGTTAAGAGAGTAGTATAGGAATTCTACACCTACAGAATTCTACAGGATGCCTAGGGTTTAAGGTTTAGGATCGTTTAGCGATTAGGGGTGGTAACGGTTTAGGCAGGGCTTTAGCAGGTTGGTTCCTGTAGGGGGCCTTAATAATTAGAATAGGGTTTGGGGGGGCCCAATGATACTATTACAAGAAAGAGCCCCCAAAATAGTATGGGTAATCATTTTGGCCCCTATATTAAGGATCCTCCTGCAGGCCCAGGGTTCATGGGGCAAAGTTGAGGTTTGGATGCACGATTGGGTTCCGCTGCACACAGACCTTGGGACCGGACCTTGCGCCCTTAGGCCTCTGTTTGGACGAACCTTTACTAGACCCAAGAGTAGCCTAGGAACAAAAAGGGTGCCCTTTTTGGTTTAAAGGGGCTTATAAGGGAACCTGAACCCCCAAAAAAGGGAATAAGGGCCTACTCTAGGTCGTTGTTTAAGTCTTAGGGCATAGTCTGGGCTGACCGTTGGGGTTTAGGGCCTAGTTTGGACTGATTTTGGGGTCTAAAGCTTAGTGCGGGTTGGCCTTGGGTTAAGCCTTTGTTTGGGCTAGTCTTTAGGGTTGGCCTTAGTCTGGGTTGGCGTTTAGGGTTAGAATTATGCTATACTTGTGTTGCACACTCCTGGCTATGCAGCGACCATGTGTTGTTGTGTAAGAGGCAACAAGGTGTTCGTCTGGACTGAAGATGTGCAACTATGAACCCTATGTTCTGGGACATGTTTGTATTTCTTCATGTTATGGGATTCTTTGGGTGGGTGGGTGTTGTATCAAAGCCGTAAGGACCAGTTTACTATAGTACTGCTCGATCCGGAGCTGCTGAACCCGAGTCCCCAAACCCTAAATAATCAAACCCAAATACCTAAACCCTACTTGAAGGCTCATGGGACTTAGTAAGTAAGGTTATAAGTAGGTTATAATTAGGATAACCCCACTTAGGGGACTTATAACCCCAATTATAACCTACATACTAAGTCCCATGATCCTCTAAGTAATACCTATACCCTAAACCCTCACAACCCTTTAAACCCTAATACCCAAACCCTGACCCCTTTTCCCTAAACCATTAAACCCAAATCCCTAAACCCTAATCCCTAACCCCTATTCCCTAAACCCTAAACCCTTTAAGCTCTAATCCCTAAACCTTAATTCCTGTTCCCTAAACCCTAACCCCAACCCCAAGCCCTAAAATAGGGCCCCAAATAAGCACATAAGCAAAAATTAGGATAGGGATATCCCATACAGATCCCCTTATAATGAAGCCCAATAAGGTAGGGATATCCCCATACAATGCTTATGCTTATGTGCTTTCTGGGTCCCTAATAAAAGTAAAGAAGGGGCTCCATTGCATTGGGTTCCTGCAAAGATGTCGCGGGGCACTTAGACCTTCTCCAGACGCTCCCGGACCTGCCCACGGAAATGTGAATTTGAGGGGTCCTCTAAGGGGTTCTATGGGTTCCTCTAAAGCGGATTTAGGAGTTCCTTTAAGGGGTGCTTTGGGCTCCTCAAAGAGAAGAAATGTGACTTCGAGAGCTCCTTTACGCGCTTAGGGCTTAAGGTTCAGGTTCGGGAGCTTGAAAGGTCCCTTTAAGGGGGTTTGGGATTTTAGGGGATAGGTTCCTTAAACAGACTTTCAAGGCTCCTCTAGGGGGATCAGGATTTAGGGGCTAGGTTCCCTAAAGAGAGTTTAAGGGTTTCTTCAAAGGGTTTAAGGCTTTTCGTACGTTTTTTGGAGCTGTAAGGGCTCCTTAAAGAACGGACACACAAGGCTTTGCGATGTTTTGTGGATCGTCGCTTAAAGGTTCTTCTAAACGAAAAACGGCTCAACATAAACTATGGTGCAAAACGAAGCGATGTTAGACTTTCGAAGGGTGCGAGGTTTGAGGACTAGGGCCAGTGCCTTAGAGAGGGCCGGCACGGAGGGGGGAGGGGGTGCGGCTTGAACGCAATCAGAATAATTAGAGTGTTGGGTTATGTTGTCGCCTCGGGATAAGCGGACTATGAAGGGATGGCGCTTAAAATGCACCCCTAACCTTGAAACTGTCGAGAAATCCCTGCATCACAAGCCCAGCCTTTGTGACGAGAGCATCGGCCGTCTTCTTGCCGTCTCCCAAGAGCATCTCCTATGGCACAAGGGAGTACACTATAGCAGAAACAACGGTGGACGATAAATGGCCAGTTGCACGGCGTTCACAAGCATTGTTTCTCAATCCTTGGGCCTTCACACGAAGTAAGAAAAGCAACATTTTCTTCTTGTAAACCCTGACTAAACTTGACCAAACCCCAAGCCCTGCGCCCCAACTTCCACCTGGGGTCTTACACACATTGAAGGGTTCAGGATTGTCGGTTTACGTTTAGGGTTTTACATGTTCGGAATGTACAGTTTAAAGCTTTGGCGTTTTAGCGCTTAGGGAAGAGCATACTTTGCGTTGCATCGAGACTCATCTCTTTTACTTGAAGACAGGACGGCCGTAACGTCCCAGGTTGTAGTGCATGGGGCTGCAGGCATGCCCATGGACTATGGCCATGCCCCCTTAGAACCATAATAATAAGTATGTCCAATATATTCTCTTGGGCTTTAAATGAACAAAAATCAAACATAGTTCGAAAGGACAGTATAGCTGAGAGGGGAGTGCAGTAGGTCGGAAGGATTCGAAGCCTTGCTGCAATCCAGGCTGCAGTGTTGGACTTGTAGAAGACGGGGTTGTCGAGGTCTGCGTAGCCTGACTAGGATACCCAGTAACCTAAGAATAAAAAGGCCTCTCTTTTTGGTATTGGGTAACTTTATAAGGAACCTAGGACTACAAAAAGGGAATAAGGGTACTACTGGGCATCCTAGCTGATGCAACGACAACCAGGGTCCTCCCCTGAAGGAAACTACAGTTTAGGACGTTGGACTTAGGATTCTGGGGTTTAGGGGTGTAGGGATTTAGGGTTCAGTGTGGGATCCCTGACACAAGGCACCTTCATCGGTTTATCGTAGGTACGGCCCCCATACATTAAGAGTCTATAATAGGGCTACTATTAAGGTCCCATTATATCTATATTATGAATATTATTCAACTATTACTGAGTGGGGGCCGTACCCAAGGTTTATCTATTCTTTGCGGAGCTCGGAGATGGACGACCCTGCCGCAAACACCTCAGACCTGAGAGGATCGGGAAGTAGGGGTGCCTTCATGAATCCACAAAGGCATGTGTTTATATATATATATATATATCTACATACATAGTTACATACGTACATAAATATATAGATCTATATATATATATATGTATATATATATATATATATATATATATGTCTGTATACAGGCAGAGAGTAGGACACCACCTACCTATCTATCTACGTACCTACCTACCTGACCTGACCTGACCTGGCATGACGTCCCAGGCCATGCACTGACACTACATTACGTGCAGACCATCACATTACATCACGCTCCATTCATACACAGCACTACATAAACACATATGTGCATATGTCACGAAGTTGATTCGCAGACTGTAAACCATTTCCGACAATGAAGATATGGCTTCGCGAGTTGATGCACAGAGTAGAAACAGAAGTAGAAGGAAACGACTAGAGTAACTAAACAAAGGACAGATTCAAAACTCTAAACCCTGAACCCCACGATGTGAAGCCCTAAAGCCTAAACCCCCAAAACCCGGAGAATCGCAGCTCCAACCCCTAAACCGTGTGCAAGAACTGAATCCCTTGACCATAAGGTGTCAAACCCTTAACCCAAAGAGTTGAAACCCTTAACTCTAAGAAATGAAACCCTAAAACGTCAGGAATGAAACCTTAAACCCTAAGGGTTGAAACCCTAAAACCCCAAGATTCGAAACCAGGTTTGAGACCCTAAACCCTAAGGTTTTCAAACCCTAAACCCTAAATTTTGAAGGCCTCAACCCCAAAGGTTTGGAAACTTCGAAAACGTAAGGACTGAACCGTAAACCCCAAGAATTGAAGACATGAAATGTAAGCTTTGAAACCCTAGACCCTAAGATTTCAAACCCTAAACCCTTAAGGTTGGTTTCCCGTCAGCCTGATCCCCAAGCTTGCTGTTGGCACCCTTTCCTTTTGCGCTGCTTCTGTTTCCGGTGCTTACGGACAGCATTTGCAGGGCTCTGCGACTTTTCGGGAGGGTTGAAATCAAACCGTCATGCAAGAGCCATTAAACTCCACGCTATCACACCCAAAAGCCTTACCGCAACTGCCTCAAACCCCCAGATGGGAAAAAAAAGTCCCTAAACCGTAAAACCCTAGGCTTCAACCCTTGCCCTAAACCCCAAATCCTAAACCGTGTACACCCTCAAGAAGAACGCCTCCGCCCATGGATCGCTTGCAGAAGATAACCTTCTTGGCCCTCCAGACCTGTACAGTAGCGTTCGGTTTAGGGTTTAGGGTTTTAAGGATTAGGGTGGGTTGAAGGTTGAGCGTTTATGTAGGTTTTTGAAGACCTTTACCATCTGCAGTACAGTTTATGTAAGGTTTAGGGTTTAGGGACATCGTAGGATTTGGGGCAATTAGGGTTCAACATGCATCGGACATCAGACCTTTGGTGGGGCTTCAGAGCTTTAGGCGCTTCGAGTTTTAGGGTCTTGGGGGCTTTGGGGGTTAGGGCTTCAGAGTTTTGGGTTAGGGTGTTTTTTCGTTTGGGCTTAGTAGGGTTTTGGATCTTTAGGTTGCAGGTTTGGGTTTGGGGGTTTTGGAGTTTACGGATTTAGAGGTTTGGGGCTCTTGTGGCTTAGGAAACTTGGGGTTCTGGGGTTCATAGGTCTATGGTTTTACGGCTTAGCGGTTTGGGGTTTGGGGGGTTTTGAAGTTTAGAGGTTTGGGGATGGGGGGTTTAGGAGTTGAGGGGTTTTGGCTTTGGGATGTTGGGGCTCAGAGATTATATAGCAGGTTTAGGAGTGCAGGGGTTTGGGGTCTTGGTGTTTTGAGGTTTCGGGTTTCGGGGTTGAGATTTTCCGTTTTGCGGCTACGGGTGAAGGCTGTTAGGCTCGTGCTTTAAAGGCCCAGGATTACTGATGATGTCTCATTTTCAAGCGGTTGGGACTTGGCGGCTTCGTTGCTTGAGTGCCTAGGGTCTTTTGAGACAAGCCTTCTCAGAGGCCAACAAACCCGCACCCTACAGACATGTTTCAATCCAAATCATGTCTGTCAATGCAGGTTGACAGTCTCTGCAGGATGTGACCTTCAAACCTTCTTCCAGGTCCATGTCGACCATTTGCTCTTCCCCTGCCTTTGACAGGTCCCAGAGCTTCAATTCAATGGTGAGGCCGTCCAAGATGTTTCCATGCTACTCTTTGCTTACAAAGCCGCAAACCACGTCCTGTTGTCCGATTTGTGGATCGGGCTTCTAACACTCACCTCGCCCACCCACGCGGCGCAGCTCCAGCCGAGCCTCTCCTGCAGGTGCCTGTGGTGGCTTGCTTCCAGCGGGCGTGGAGGCGGAATGGGCGGAGGACTGTGTGGACAGAACGTGGGTGTGGGGGACGGCAAGCTTGGACGGGGCTAGAACCCTGCAACCGTCTGGGTTTTATGGGGTGTGGGTTTCAGGCGTTTGGAGTTGAGGGTTTAGGGATTTAGATTTTGGGGCTGAGGGGGTAGGGGCTTGGGGTAGTAGGGTCTGATGATTAGACGTGGGATCCATAGAGTTCAAAGCGGCTTTAAGAAAGGATCTGGGCTTCTTTGGGGGGGCTTACGTGCCTACTATATGCGTACAAAGGATTTTGTATCGTAAGGCTCTAGAGGAAAAGCACCTCCCACCTGTGGAAGACTTCAAGGGCTGCTTTTTTGGGTCTATGGCTTCAGCCCTCATATCATATCGCTAAACTCAAGATCTAAGCCGAGACCGAGGCCGCAAATCCTAAACCTAAACACCCCCACCACCAGCAGAACGAAGAACCTTCGAAGAAAGCTATAACCATCCAAGAAACCCTTACAAAATCCCTGCAAGACCCCTGAAGAAACCTGAAAGGCGTTTTGCAGAATTCCTGGTGTGTGCCTCGATGACGGGCATGCCCCAGATTGCGCAGCCCTCTAGCTCCTCTCTGGAAGCTCTTGACATTGAGGATAAGCTAGAGTTTAATTTAAGGTCAGAGTTTAGCGTTCAGGGTGACATTGAAGGCAATCTAGGGTTTCGAATTTAGGGCTAAGATCCTTGAGGGTTGAGGGTTAAGATAATGTCGGGTTTAGGGCGTGGGGTTGGGCTTGGGATAAGCATTCCATAAGGGTTCTTATGAGGGCCCTGTGAGGGTTCTAGAAGGAGCACTATGACGGTTCTGTTGGGGTTGCTATGAGGGTTCTACGAGTTGGATGAGCATTACTCTAAGGGCTCTGAAAGGGCTCTAATTAGGGATTATTTAAGGGACCTACAGAGCAGAGTTGATACAGCAAGATCGGTTCTGACGATGCTCAACGTGCTGTAGAAGATACTGAGTCAACTTACTAAACCCAAAAAGCTTCCATTAGGATGCCCTTTGAGGGGTTGGGGTTTTGGGGAGCCAGGTTTAGGGGATTAGGGGTTTAGGGGTTTAGGGTTTAGGGTTGAGGGTTTAGGGAAGACTGGTGCTTCAGGGGCAGAGGGTTTTTAGGTTCAATGCCTGCCAGATGCCAGGGCTATCCGCATCTTGGTTGCTGAGTCCCTAAGGGCCCAAAGGACCCAATAATTAGGTACTTGGGATTAGGGTAGTAGTCATGTAGCTCAATATTTAAGAGAGTATATGATTATTAGGTACTCGGACCCTTAGGGAGTTCATTAGCCCCCACAAGTGTACACGTTCAGTTTTATAGTTTTATAGTGGGTAATACTATCCCTAAAAGCGTAAAGTGTACCCACTCAGCTGCTAAGGGGTTTTAAGGGCTACGACGGAGGTATCTACCCTCGACCCTACAGAATTGTTGATCTTAAACTTTATCGCCTTCTTCGCTTTCATCGGCTTGACAGCTGTGCTTGGCTTGGCACCTGTGGACTTCTTGGTTGTACTGCTGGGATCGAGGGCCCGATCGTAGACCCATGTCTCGACCACGATCTTTGGGGTTTCCTTCAGGCCGGCAAGTCTGAACGCCCCCCCACACTTTGGACCACACCTTCGTGTAGCTCGTTCTTTCGGAAGGTACAAGTACTTGAAGGCTCATGGGACTTACTAAGTAAGGTTATAAGTAGGGTTATAATTAGGATAACCCCACTTAGGGGACTTATAACCCCAATTATAACCTACTTACTAAGTCCCAGGATCCTCTAAGTAGACCCTAAACCCTAAACCCCATAGATCCCTTTAAGGAACCCCTATATATAGATCCCTTTAAGGAGCCCTTTAAAGAACCCCTACTAAGTAGCTCGTCCAAGCGATGATAAACCGAGAAGGCAACAAGTTGACCTCGAGGCCCAAAACTGCGGCCACGCGCGGGTTTGGGGTTTGGGGGTTTAGGGGTTTAGGGGTTTAGGGTTTAGGGGTTTAGGGTTTAGGGGTTTAGGGTTTAGGGGTTTAGGGTTCGAGTAAAGAAGGAGAAGAGGAAAAAGGCCCAAACGAAGAAGCCTGCAACGACAAACAGCAAAGGCGCATCCTCGTTCTTGAAGTATCAGCACGAGACTACCCGGTAGCACTCTTAATCACCTTCAAATCGGATGTTCTGAAGTAACCATGGCACGGGAAAACCCCTGCAGGAGACAAAAAGCAGACATCATGATCCCCACTGTGGTACTAACTCCCAATACAAGCACAAGACTGACGATCGTAATGCTACGAAGCATGGAAATACACTGCAAACAACAATATGAACTCCACGGCCACCAATGTTCATCTTATTCAGCCTAAACCTGAACCCATATGCACTACGCCCTAGACCCGTTTCAAGCCCTGCGCCACTCTGAAGCCCAATAGAACCCTGCAAAAACCTTCAAAAGAATGGATCCAGCTACCAATCGCCCCGTTTAGAACCCAGAGCCTCCAAAACCCCTTAATTAAGGAATAGACCTTACTTTATAATAGGATCCCTAATATGATTTTAAGGTCTATTCCTTAATTAAGGGGTTTTGGAGGCTCTGGGAAGGGCCTGGGCTGCCGAGTTCACAACATCGTTGGCGCCCATAACCAAGACCACATCGAAGTTTTCCATGTCTGGGTTCACCTCAATCGGGTTTGTTTACGCTTTAGCGCTTCGGACTAAAATACAAGCTAGGGTTATCATCAGGGCTCTATACTTGAAGGCTCATGGGACTTAGTAAGTAAGGTTATAAGTAGGTTATAATTAGGATAACCCCACTTAGGGGACTTATAACCCCAATTATAACCTACTTACTATGCGCATGATCCTATAAGTAGAGTTCTATGATAGTTCTATGTTTGCGCTCAATGTATATGCAGAGCTTCTTGGCTTTGGGAGTTCTAGTTTAGGGTGTACCTTAACCCACCAGAACCTGCCTTTTTTGCAGGGTCCCTTCTAACCCCCTACTTGGAGGGTCGGGGGACTTGGTAAGTAGGTATTTTAGAGACTTATAAGTACCATAACCCCAATTAGGGTCCTCCAAGTAGTAGGGTAAATATAATGATAACCTACAGAAAAATGGGTTTTGTGTAGGGAAAGTTAGGGTTCCTCTCTTTTTGGGGCCGTGAAGTCTGGGATGACGCAGCGGATCTCGCTGGACTCATCGCTGAACCCCTTCACTTTTGGGGCTGGCCCAGCCCAGGTTTAGGGTTTAGGGTTTGAGGTTTAGGGTTCAGGGTTTAGGGTATAAGGTTTCGGGTATAGAGTTTAGGGTGTAGGGTTTCGGGTTCAGGGGCTTGTCAGGGTGGATGACTGCAGACCTTGGAAGCATGCTTTGCCTGAATGCTTAAAGCCCAAATGCATTAGGGTCCAGCTTATGTGCTATACCCTCCTCATAGGCCCGTACCAGGAGCCAAACCCCGCAAACCTGCAAGCCTCAAACCGTTTACCCTACATCCACAAGCCCCTGAGCCCTATGCCTGCCCTGACACCGACAAGCCCAAACCCTACTTGGAGGTTCATGGGTGGTTATAAGTGGGGCTATAAGTCCCCTAATATGGGTTATAAGTATAGTTACCCTACTTATAACCCTTCTTATAACTACACTTGAACCTCCAAGTAAAGCCGAACCATTCAATGCAAAAACCCTGAGCCCTAACCCCCAAAATCCGAACTCCAGAAAGCCTTGCAACCCCAAACCCGGGTTTAGGGTTTGGGGTTTAGGGTTGGGGGTTTAGGGTTAGGGTTTGGGGTTTGGGTTTAGGGTTAGGGTTTGGGGTTTAAGGTTTAGGGTTTGGGGTTTAGGGTTTGGGGCTTAGGGTTTAGGGTTTAGGCAAGCCCCTCCTCGTCCATCTCTAGCACCCACTCGTGAGGCACCCCAGCCTGCAGGTAGGGTGCATCCTTTTGGCTTCGAGCCCTTTACATGGCTTCACAGAGAGGGCCTACTCCGTGTTTGGGAATTTCTGGGAAGCTGCAGGATAAAGCCTAAAGAAATAAGCTACCGAAGAGCGGTTTGTGATCATATAGATTTCCATGCTGCGCAAGTATCCAATGTAATCATAAACAGATTCGACTACATCAAAAAACAGGCTGAAACCCTGTGATTTCCGTATATTTCAACAGGGAAGGGGCTGAAGAAACGGCAGCCAATACCAAACCAAGGCTGGGGAGGGTGACTTTGTCGTTCCACTCTGGTTTGAGTTAAGCACCAACACGATTTCTACACTACAACGCGGCTTAATGCAACTATGAGCCCTCTCATAAGCCGTCTTCCTGATTTTGTGTCTGTGTTTGCACGCGTGTTTTGCGTGTTCTGATGCCTGTATTTGGTACATAGATTGCTTGCCCGCATGCTTTACAGATGATACGGTGATACAAGTAACTATATGGTTTTTGACAAAGAGAAACTCGATCAATGGACTGTGTGTGTGTGTGTGCGTTGATTTACCGGCGTAGGGGGCTCATGGCATAACCAAAACGTTCCTATTCTGTTGAAGACATGATACACCCAAACCCGTGGGAGGACCAACAAAGTGATCCCTTAAGATGGGGTCCCAAAGTAGGTCCTCTACTTTCTAGATCCTCCCTACGGGCTGGGGATGCGGGGTTCGCAACCGGACGGTAGTCGCAATTTCGACAGGGTCTAGGGTTTAGGGACCCCACAACACTTGGAAGTTCCGAAAACTTATTTTGGCGACCATATAGTAAGGATCCCACTACTTAGGGTACTATATTAGGGTCCCTGATTTTCGGCAACTCCCACTTGGGTTTGTCGCTCCGTTGAATTGGAATGGGGCGTCTGCGTATGTTCTACTACCTAACTCAATTTACCCTACAAAAAAGTAGGCTTTGGTAGGCTAAGGCGAAGCCACAGTAAGGAGCCCTGGAATAGTATTGCCACTTGTTCGGGCGTCCATGTTATGTCCATCTCCACAGTGCAACCAGTCTTACCTTTGGTTGGTGAGGAAAGGGGTACAGTTATAACTGGTATTACTACCATTCTTCCATTCCCTACTAACCAAAGGCAACCAGTGCAATGTGTTCCATCCTCTTGGCCAGCACACGCGAAGTTCGCATGTGCAGGGCTGGCGTCGCATGATTCTGGGGATTGCATGTCAGGAAAGCGGGTTTTCCTGCCTGAGATGCCTACACTTGTAGAAGCATCGGTGTTGACTCGCAGCCGATATGAACTTCGACGAGAACTACTCGAACCTAAGCTCTCCATGGTGAGCTCTGCCAGACCGCGTGATCGCCAAAACTTGCGTGCGAACCTCGCAAGGTCATTCCGCAGAGACGAAGATGAGGCAGCAAAGCTGTTCCACTTCGGCTCCGTGCCAACCATCCGCACAGCTGCAACTCCCAATTCTAAACAATCTGGTTGTCGGTGACAGGGCTGCACATACGCTGCCCAAGTTATCGAAAGCACTGAAGCAACTGCTGCGTGTGCCTTTTTCCGAGAAGACAAAAGCCGTTTAACCCCACACCCTTACCCCAAAGCTTGCTCTGCGCCGCTGCGCCTCTGCCAACAGCACGTTCATCTGACCCGGCATGCGCCCGGCAACAGGGTGAACACCGAACCTTGGCGGCTGCAGCGCTGGGAAGGTAGGCGTTTGCATTTGGGGCTTGGCTTCGTGAACTTTAAGCTGTCGAGAGATTTTGTGCATGGCTTTCTTGGGCAAACCCTAAAAGACTAGTATGTTAATGATTAAAACCTAGGAGACAAGTGCAGCCTGCATTGGTCAACACCTCGCGCCAGATTCGTAAAGCATTTCAGAGCCCAGGGTTCGCTCTGCAGTTCTTGGCCTTAAGATCCTCAAGATAGCGGACCCTAATATGGAACCCTGAATAGTAGGATCCTTAATATAGCACCCTAAACAGTCGGATCCTTATCATAAGGACCCCAATTTTTCGGAAACTCTAAACCCTTGTAGTGCCCTTCACAGGATAGTACCCTTATGGTAACCCGTTAAAGGAATCCTAAGTTACCCCTCATTTACGGAAACTCCCAACCTGGAATGGTGGTCCAGAGTAAGTTCCGGCGAACCATCGCTCTCAATCCGACACCAAACCATAAAGCACCTTCACCCGCTGTCCCAGACTCCTGGAAAGGTCCAAAAAGTAGATCCCTTTTTCTTAAGGGGGCTCCTCTAATTAACTAGTTCATGGTTGAGATAATATTATAAACTTGAGTTGTTCTTCCTTATTGGGTTTAAGTATCCATAAAAACGTAAAATGTCACCCGACTATGACAAAGTTAAGGGATCTACTTTCTAGAGCCTCCTCTCTTGCGGAGGGCTCCTTCCGGTGAGCGTCTCTGCAGGATAGCTTCCACGAGGAGGTCGCTTGAGGAGCGGATGACTAGACTCCTTGCTGATCCTTTGGGGCTTTGAGTTGAGGATTTACTGTAGGAACCTGATTAAGCAACCCCGGTCCTTGAACCCCTAGTATATTAGGGTTCATAAAAGGAACCCCAATAAATACCCAAGGCTTCTTTATCAGGTTCCTAGATTAGGATTTCTAAGGATCAGGTCGCTTTTGAGGCTTTGGGTTTAGGGCCTGGGTAGCTGTCCTCACAACTTAGCTGCTGAGTTCATAAGCCGCCAAAAGTGTACACTTTTAGTCTAATAGCGGGCGATAGTTTCCCAAGAAGTGTAAAGTGTATCCACTCAGCTACTAAGACAACTTGGGCCAGCAACCGGCCGAGTCAAGAGTAGGGCCCCAAACCCGAAGTCCTAAGCGCCCAAATAAGAAGTTGAATGAACCTGAGAAGCTTCACCCTGAACCCCGAGACCGACCCTGAGTGCTAAGTATATACCCTAAACCCTCAGTTCGAACTGCCTGAGGACGCAAATCTCAAATTATAAAGTTCTGAACCCCAATACCCAAACTTTATATCCCTAAAGACGAGTTGCCAAATTAAAAAGTTCTGAGCCCCAATACCTAAACTTTACATCCCTAAAGACGAGTTGCTTCAGGACGATGTTGTTCTTGCGCAGCATCGACGCCAACTCTCCCATGGGCGTCTGCGCACGGGCCATGGCCATGCCTTTGTCCCAGAGACTCCAATATCCCTTAATTAAGGAATATGCCTTAAATTATAATAGGATCCTTAATATGATTTAAGGAATATTCCTTAATTAAGGGATATTGGAGTGTCTGGGGTTGGTTTTGGTGTTCAAAGCGCATGGGGTTTAGGGTTTATAGGGCTTAGGCTAGGGCATGGGGTTCGGGGTTTGAGTTTAGGGTTTAGGGTCCAGGGTTTCGGGTTTAAGGCTTGGGGCTTAGGTATAAGATTCCAGGGTACTTGGGTGTTACGGTTTCGGGTTTAGGGTTTAAGGTTTAGGGCTTCGGATTTGGGGATGAAGCTGAGCTTCAGGGTTTGGGGTCTCTGCGTAGCTTCCTCTTCGGATAGCTCGACGCCCTGCAAAGACCACTTACTATGCTCTTGCCACCCTCCTTGGCAGAATACCCAGACGCCACAAAACTTTTCACTGCTGACATTCGTTTGGCTACAGTACGGCTTCTCAACATTAATGAACCTAAACCCTAAATCTAAATCGTCTAGTCTTAACTGTGTGGGCGTTGGGCTCGTAATACGTCTCAGGGTGCCGCAGAGGGCAAGAGATAATTTAGCGACTTGGAGGTTCTTTTGACGTCTGTTGGATGTTGGGGGTTAGGGTTCAGGGCTTGGCGTTCAGGATTTAGGGCCTGAGTTTAGGATCTGGGGCTTGGGGTTTAGGATATAAGCCCCGACACGAGACGAGCGTAGACAGAACGCCTCGGCAATACCAACTAAAGAAGCATCCACAAAGAAAACAAAGAAGAGCTCCTTCATTCAAGACCCCACCTTATAACACCCTCCTCGGAGGTTTATGGGTAGCTATAAGTGGGGTTATAAGTATAGGGTAACTATACGTATAACGCATGTTAGGGGACTTATAGACCTACTTACATCTACCTATGAACCTCCAAGTAGAGAACCCTAAACCCTAAACCCCTAAACCCCAAAAAACCCTAAGCCCTAAACCCTAAGCCCTAAACCCTAAGCCCTAAACCCTATATAAGACCTCCTCCATTAACAGGATTTCCGGGAAGTCTGCCGAGCTGCCGTAGCCAGGGACGACCAAAACCTCCTTGGCGTTCACCAGCCTTGCTGACCCAGAGAGCCCAATATCCCTTAAATAAGGAATACCTAGGGCCTATAGGGCTCCTTTAATGGATCTATAGGGTTTAGGGTTCAGGGGGCTCCATACCCCTTAATTAAGGAATATAGCTTAAATCATAATATGGCGCCCCTACTGATTTAAGGTATATTCCTTAATTAAGGGGTATTGGGCTCTCTGGGGAGCTCGAAGAGCAAGGAGGGCTTACGGTTTGGAGTTTAGGGGCAGGAGCTTTTGCTTGAATTGGATTAAATTTTTCAAGTAGCAGTTGAAATGTTTAGGTTTAGGGTTTATTGTTAGGAGATACTTGCTTCAGTTTGTAGATAGAGGCCCAAACAATCAATAGACCACCTGCTCGACTTGAAGCGCCTCGAGATGGATGCTACCGCGGAGAGTGTCCCGATTCTCTCTCGAGATAGAACGGCTTAGGGCCCCCATCCAAGATCCATACCCTCAACTCTGAACGCTGCACCCTCCACCCAAAACCCCTAACCAGACATCGTCAATCCTGAACCCTAAGCCCTAGACTTAAAAAGGCCCCAAACCCAACTTTGTGTCTTCTAAGTGCACCACATGTCGGCGCAGAGTTCCACGCTGCACTCCACGTGCTCCTGCACATCTTCAACTGTTTACGATGTTTTATGCGGTGGCATAAGCGTTATCCCAAAAGCTCCATGTACCTGTATAGTAGATACTTAAGCCTTAAAGAGGTCCCTATATAGGCACTTGAAGGCCTAAGTACCTACTATATGGGTACATGGAGCCTTACGGTGTATAGGGTCTTAATAGGGGTCTTGTAAACGTATTTAGCACATCATACAGGGGCATTAATGAGTAGAACAGACTGCATTCCATAGTCTGCAGGGTGATTATACCTAGGTTCCTGAGTAGGCCCATTATAAGCAGGCTACCCTGTTTCGTACCGTTCGGTTCTAATAAGGGGGCCCAGAAACAAAAATTGCAAAAGTATACTATTCAGGAACCCTTGTAGTACCCTTATAGTATCCTTATAGAACACTTAAAGGGATCCTTATAGTATCCTTATAGTATCCTTATAGAACACTTAAAGGGATCCTTTTGGTACTGACACTGAACGAGGCTCCGTGCTTTCCCGTTGGGAGCTAATGCGGGTACGATCTTCGCAAGAGGAAACCCTAAACCCTAAACCCTAAACCCTAAGCCCTAAACCCTAAACCCTAAACCCTAAACCCTAAACCCTAAACCCTGAACCCTAAACCCTAAACCCTAAACCCTAAACCCTAAACCCGGATTTACAAAAAGCAACTCTGGGGCTTGAACTGACAAGGAATGACCCATGTACATATAGTCCATGAACATATTACTTAGAGGATCATGGGACTTAGTAAGTAGGTTATAATTGGGGTTATAAGTCCCCTAAGTGGGGTTATCCTAATTGTAACCTACTTATAACCTTACTTACTAAGTCCCATGAGCCTTCAAGTACTACAATATGTTGCAATTATAGTATAAGATGATATATCCCCGCATAGTTCCTAACTTGCTATAGTATACTACAACTATACGGCATACGATGATAGATCCCGAGACCCTTTGGGAAAGCCCAGTTATAAACCCTAAACCCTTGACCCTAAACCCTAAACCCTATAATTATGAAACCAAATAACCTACCTCTTTAAGGACTTAAATAAGGAAATCATATTCAGGAACCCTAAAAATATGGGTTCCTTGGGGTCCAGGTAAACCCTTGACCCTAAACCCTAAACCCTAATTATGAAACCCGAGATCCCGACGGACGCTCCAGTTTCATTTCAACCCCCCAAAACCTGGATGAAACCCTCCAAAAACCGCTTCCTTCCTTAGTACCCTCTTTATGACAATAAGGTGATAAGGGAACCCAAAAGATAGAGGGCAAAAGGCTACTATTCACGAACCTAGACCAACTTTGGGTCCCGGATTTGTTGGCTAACCCCCTGGGCCGTTTCTGAGCCCTGTTTCCTTGGGGCCGGTGTCAGCGCCCTTCACCACAGGGGCGTTGTTGAGGCCGCCGAAGAGGACGTTGAAGATGTCTCGGTTCCTAGATAGGATTCGTGTTGGAGTTGAGGGTTTAAGACTTATGGTTCGGGGTCTAGGGCTTAGGCCTTCGAATTCAATCAGGCGTTACAAGGACCCGGGCTTCATCATAACGCTTCTGAGGATTTGGCAGGTTTGGGTGGTTGTCAAAATTATGGTCCCTGCTTGGGTCCCTTTTATAATACGGCACCTAATATTTAGGGTGCCCAAAAAAGGACCATAGTTTTGACAACCACCCGTCCGGGTTTCGGGCAGAGGAAGAGCTGCAAAGTCTTAGGGTTCAGGGCCTCGTTACCATGTCTCGAGGGTTAGAAGCTGCCTACCCCCTACCTTCCAACCCTGAGACTCCAATACCTCTTAATTAATGAATATTCCTTAAATCATAGTAAGGATCCCTAATCTGATTTAAGGAATATTCCTTAATTAAGGGGTATGGGAGTCTCTGGGAACACATTCGTCCAAGCTCAAAGCCATGCGGATGCCGTGCACCGCCTAGGGGATGAGAAGGTTTAGGGTTTGGGGTTTAAGGCTCTGGCCAGTTTAGTCAGGCAAGCCGCATCGCGTCGCACATGATCTTGGTCAGGATAGCTCCTCAGATTTGTGCGCGCGTGCTTCTTCTTATTCTGTTTATCCTTACCCTTATCCGTGTAGTAATCGTTATCCGTCTCCTTGTTCTTTCTTATTGTACTTATTAGCCTTATTCTTATCCTTTTCAGATTACTACGTACTCTTCGTCTTACAATTCTTCTTGTTCGTGTTACTCTCACGATTGTTGCTATCATTGTTAAACCCTTCAAGACGCGAGCCCCTGAACCTATGCTCGTCCCAGCCAAGCCGCAAGCCCTGCACCATAGATCTCAAACCCCAAGTCCTAGACATCGAGACAAACCTTACGGCTACCGGTTAGGATTTGGGGTTTGGGGTTTGTTGTTAAGTTTCAGGTTTTCGCGTTCTCCAAAGAAAAAAAGCGCACGCCTGGATTGCTGCCTTGCCGGCAACCATAGTCATTAGTCGCTCGAACCTCGGCAATAACACAACGCGTCCATTGAATGCCAGCCCTACCCCAAGAACGGTATAGTTTACGCTCTAGGCATAGAGCCCTAGCGCAAGGATCGTGTTCTTTTTAGACGCAATCTTGTCTGAAGACCTCAAACTCGAAAACGCTAACGGTCAACCCTGCACCCTAAACCCTATAAACTATAAACCCCTGTGAACCCTATAAGCCCAAAAACCTGTATCAATTCCTGCAAACCCCATAAACCCTGCAAACCCTACAGTGCCTACAGGCCCCAAACTACACTCTAAACCCCAGCCCTAATCCCGAATCGCCAAACCCATACCAGCAGATCCCCTAGTTTGAACCCCAAAACTATTAAACGCTACCCAGGGACAGGGATATTATTAGAGTCTCTGGCTACTTTATAGGAACCTCTTTAGGGATCTACTTTTGGATCCTCCCAGGCATCTGGGAAACCTTACTTGGAGGTTCATGGGTAGTTATAAGTAGGGTTAAGGTAAGGTAACTATACTTATAGCCCATATTATTAGGGGACTTATAACCCCACTTCTAAATACCCTAAACTCTTAACCCTATAGGTCCCTTAAAGGAATCCTACCTACAGCCCCACTTAAGACCACCCATGAACCTCTAAGTAAGCCGGGCCATACAGTAGTTGCCCTAGCTTGAACTCCTATACTATTAAAGGCTACTTAGGGTTTAGGGTTTAGGGTTTAGGCTACTCTTTAGGAACCCCTTTAAGGGATGTAGTTTGTTGGTTCAGGGTTTAGGGTTTAGGGATCCTCCCAGGCGTCTGGGAAACCCTAAGCCGGGCCATGGTTCCGGAGAAGCCGATCAAAGAACCCACGATGGTGAGCACGTTGCTGTCGAGCAGGAAACCCTGCAGATTTTAGGGGTTCACTTGGGTGGTTGTCAAAATTAGGGTCTCTTTTTGGGTCCCTATTATCATACGGCACCTAATATTTAGGGTGCCCAAAAAGGGCCCATGATTTTGACAACTGCCCACTTAAACGTGCAAGGGAAACCCAGAGGGTTTGAGAGTACCTGAAACAGGGAAACACTGAGAGTTTCTTGTGGCAAAGAGGCCTCAAAATTCAGCGGTTTAGGGGTATACGGTTAAGGGGTTTTGCGGCAGGCTTTAGCTAGGTTGGAGATCTCGGGTTAGATTAAATCCGACGTGGGATTGTAAAAAAACAGACTGACTCGGTCTCTGTTTATGGTCAGTTTAGGGCTAGGGGTTTCAATCCCCTAAATGCCTGACAGAAACGCTTTGCCCCGCCCCAAACCCTAAATCCCAAACCCTACCGGCACCCCCCCAAAGTACCCTGGAGTGGAACCGCCATGGTCCTAAACAATTGGTGTTTGGGTATGATAAGGAGTACTTTTGGGGGATCGAAAGGGAGTATAAAACCTACAAAAGCCCGCTCCTCGGCCCCTTTCCCCAGAATCTCTGCTATAGTAACTCTTATGGTAGGCCCTTATAGGAACCTTTTCTTTAATCAGGAACTCTACCCCTATACCCTAAACCCTAAACCCTATACCCTACATCTTCTCATGACTACAGTGTTAAGCCCCAGGCCTCGGCAACGAGGGCCCAACCGGAGTAGGAGTTCAGGACGGTGATGCACACAGGCCTGGGCTTGTGCGGCTTGGGTTTAGGGCTTAGGGTTTGGGGATTTAGGGACTGGGGTGTAAGGTTTAGGGCTTTGGGGTTCTGGCTTTTGGAGTGAATGGTTTACCTTTAAAGGGATCTATACGGGTTTGGTTTTGGGGGGTTTAGGGTTAAGTTAAGAGGATGATAAGGGTTCCTTTCAAGGGATCTAAAAGGGTAGGGTGTAGGGTCTTTGGTGTTATAGTGTTCGATGTTTCGGCTTCAAGGGCCTGAGCTCTTCTTCTTGCAATTTAGGGGTCCGCGGCCGCTTAGGGATCAAAAGACGATACCCCTGTAAACTACATGAAGGGCCCCAAACCAACCCTAAACCTATAATCTATATAGAACCTCTATGAAGTTCCTGCCCTGTGGTGTGTTCTTCCTCTCCCCAGAGAGCCCAATACCCCTTAATTAAAGAATATAGCTTACATCATAATATGAAGCCCCTAATGATTTAAGGTATATTCCTTAATGAAGGGGTATTGGGCTCTCTGGGTCCCGTCATGCGAACTTTTCAAACAAGTACGAAACTCTACTGTTGGTCGGATTTTGCTCCGAGGGACTCACTTTCAGTGCCCACTTCCAGGGTGGGGGTTGCAGATATCAGGGTTCTGATTGAGGGACTACTTGGAGGTTCATGGGTAGTTATAAGTGGGGTTATAAGTAGGTAACTACTTAAGGGATCATGGGACTTAGTAAGTAGGTTGTAATTGGGGTTATAAGTCCCCTAAGTGGGGTTATCCTATTTATGACCTACTTATAACCTTACTTACTAAGTCCCATGAGCCTTCAAGTATACTTATGACCCATATTAGGGGACTTATAACTCCACTTATTCTAACTACCCATGAACCTCCAAGTAGGGGCGGGGCTTAGGGTTCAGGGCTTTGGGGATGCTGGTTGCTCCGACCTTATCTCTGAGGCTGACGGGATGGGGCCGGGATGCCTCTGTCTAGGCTCAGGCGAGACGCAACGACTTTTCTTTCTGAGACTCTGCAATATCAGCCATCGGGTTTTTGTTGGTTAATGTTGGGCTCATGGAAAACAGACGTCTGATAAATACCGACGGAGCACTTGTATTCTTGTAAACTGGGAAAAAACGACATTGACTCAACAAGCTTCGCCCATGTGCGAAACCACAAGCAAACCAACTTCATGAAGGACACACTATGGCCAAAACCACACAGTTGAGCAATGTCAATACACTTCAAATCACATATATGTTTTTGTGAGACAAGTATGTATGTATGTATGTGTGTATGTATGTATGTATGTATGTATGTATGTATTTATGTCATTTATGTATGTATGTACACTGTATGTACGAAATATTGCAGGCTGCGTGTATACCATACATACACATTTGCACACAATATGCACATGTCACTAACCCTAAACCCTTAACCCTGAACCGTAAACCGTCCTAAACCCTACACCCCTAAACCCCTAAACCCTAAACCCTCATGAGCCCTAAACCCTGAACCCTGAACTCCCCACCGTCATCCTACAAAATCAAAGCCTGCAGCCTCGGAGCATGTCACCGCCGCCCACGCTGGCCACCAAATGCAGGCCCATGAGGCAAGCCAGGATGGCCACCAGCCAGAGGTTCATAACTCCGTGCTCGCTGCCTTTCAGGGTTTAGGGTTCAAGGATTTCTAACCGAGAGGTTCATAACTCCATGCTCGCTGCCTTTTAGGGTTTCTCACTGGCCCAAAACGCAAGGAAACAAAAGTTGAAACTTGAAGAACCCGACTACCTTGTGCGAACCCCAACAGTTGAAAAGTTGAGCTTACAGCCAATATGGTTCAGGGTTTAGGGATTTCCAACCGAGAGGTTCAGAACTCGATGCTCGCTGCCTTTCCAACCGAAGCCGTCAGAGGCTGCTAAATAACTCCTCAATAAAGCCTCAAACCTAAATCCTAAAACCCCAAATGGGTGGTTGTCAAATTTGTGGTTGTTTTTGCCGTACTTTATTATGGAACCAACAAGGGACCATGGTTTTGACAACCACCCAAATGCCTGAAGCCTACACCCCAAACTGTTCGTTTTTTTGTTCCTGCGGTTTTGGGTGCGGGGTTCGGGGTTTAGGGTTTTGGGTTCGGGCTTCGGGGTTTAGGCTCACCGTGTCGTTGTCGTGCATAGTTGCTTCTAAATGCACCTGAAACCACTATAACATACTGTTCTGTAGGCTCCAGTACAAGCCGGAATATGGAACGTATGGGGACCCTACGAAAAAGTGTTTTGGCAGGTTTAAGGTATGACTTTCTTCAGGGATCCACGCTGCTTGTTACTTCCTAGAGTTTTAGGTTCCGTTTGCTGGCTCGTCTGTGTCATTGGTTTTTCTCTTATCTTTTCGTGTATGCATGTATTTAACTACGCATGTGTTTATTCATCAGTTTATGTGTGTATTTGGACATCTGGGGTCCGATATATGGGCTTGCTACAGTTTTAGGCGCAGTTATACGGGTGGTTGTAAAAATTATGGTCCCTTTTTGGGTGCCCACTATAATGCGGCACCTACCCTAATCTTGACAACTACCCATATGGAATTTACGGGCAGGGGTTCGGCTTGCTAGGCTCTCCTCCGAGCCATCAGGGGCCTGTTGAAGGATGCCCAGTGACCTAGGAATAAACAGGGCCCCCTTTTTGGTATTGGGTAACTTTATAAGGAACCTAGGACTACAAAAAGGGAATAAAGCAGAATACGGCTTAAGCGCTTGATCACGGATCACGGGTATAACTTCCGCATCCAGGAACATTGGTCATGTGAGTACAACAACGACAACATGCTGACAGATTGGTTTCCAGGTTTATATGTATAGATACAAGATGTCACCCGGTTTCTAGGAGCATGCAAACAGTGTCTTGAAGAAGGGACCTCTCCATAACATTCCATACCCCTTTTAGGGTTGGGGTTTTGGGCTCAGTAGACTGAATCGTCAGTCAAACCGCTAAACCCTAAACCCCAAATCCTAAACCCTCAGCCCAGGATAAATAAAAATTGCTTAGCAGGTTTTCAGTGAGAAAGCAAACGGCAAAACCCGGTCAGAACCCGATCAAAACCCGCACAAAACCGCACCACAAATTTCAGGACCCGAACCCTGAACAATTTCGATGGACCCCATATCCTAAACCCGAAACCCCAAACCCTAAACCCTAAGTCCTGGCTGGAGGAAGACGCACATGAGGAAGATGAAGAAGACTCCAAACCCTAAACCCAAATCCTAAACCCTAAACCCCCACCCCCCAAGGCCTGGCTGGAGGAAGAGGTACATGAAGAAGATGAACAAGAAGAGGCCGAAGAGGTTCAGGTAGTTCTTGCCCGGCAGAGACAGCTCCTTGGAGCCTCGCGGGTTTACGGCGGTGGGCTTTCAGTTTAGAGTTTTAGGGTTTCGGGCTGCTGGGGTCTTTAAGCATTACGGGTTCGGGTTTAGGGTTTAGGGGCTTAGGGTTTAGGGGTTTAGGCTTTAGGGTTTCGGGCTGCGGCAGAATCGGTGAGTTTAGGGTTTAGGGACCACTGTAGAAGCTTATAGTATCTGTTCGGGGGTCCCATAAGGGGTTCTTTTAAGGGCATCTGTCTGCGGGGGGTCTCAAGCATTCGGGGTATATAGTATATTGTAGGCCAAGGATCTTGAGGATTTGGGTACTTCTTTAAGTTAGGGTCCCGTTTTGTGTCCCAAAAATACTACGGCACCCAGGACCCTGAAAGGGACTCTGATTTAGAGAACTACCCATTCTAGACCCCAGAGCAGCCTAGGAATAAAAAGGGTGCCCTTTTTGGTTTAAAGGGGCTTATAAGAAACCTGAACCCTTAAAAAAGGTAATAAGGGCCTACTCTAGGTCCTAGCATTTAGGGTTTAGGGTTGGAGGGTTTCTGGTGTTAGGGTTCAGGGTCAGTGGGGTCTAACCGAACCTTGGCGATGCCTATCACAAACACCTATGGGATGCCCGCACGCTGCACTGTGTACAGAAGATCTGCTCGATTAGTCAACATAATACATACAGCAGTTTCAGATATGGAGGGACACTTGCTACATCGACCTAAAATACTTGGATCCTAAAAAGGATACAGAAACACCAAAGTTTCTGGAACACCCAGGATTTTCCAGGCACAGTGGTTCTAAAGGTTCTAAGGCTTACGACCACCTGAACCTGGTCCTGACGCCCCACAGCGCCCCTTCTCAGAAAACGGGGTTTAGGGTTTAGGGTCCTCAGCCCCAAACCCTGCACTCTACACCCTGAACCCCAGGGTAGGCACAAGGGCTTCGGGTTCAGGGTAAGTATAAGGGTTTAGGGTTGGGTGTAGGGTAAGTATAAGGCTTTGGTAAGGGTCTGTGCTCTTCAATATTTCTCAAGATGCAGGTCCTGTTGCGAGGATCTCGTGATTAGATGTTCCAGAGTGGGCCTTTAAAGCGTTTTTTTTCACAAATCGTCTCCCCACATAGCCACCGTAAACACTTCAGTTTAGAAACTCCCGAAACCCGATTTTGATCGTAGAGCCCTAAACCCTGGTCCTGAACCCCTAAACCCTAAACCCTGAACCCTAAACCCCTAAACCCCTAAACCCTAAACCCTAAACCCTAAACCCCTAAACCCCTAAACCCTAAACCCTAAACCCTAAACCCCTAAACCCCTAAACCCTAAACCCCTAAACCCTAAACCCTAAACCCTAAACCCTAAACCCTAAACCCCTAAACCCCTAAACCCTAAACCTTATCAAGAGCCGTTGTTGATGTCTTTGGGGACCCTGGAGTTGACAAGCACCCCCGACAGTAGGTAAAATGATGGCCCAAGACCTATGAAGGGAAACTATTCTGCACAATTTACCCTAAACCCTAAACCCCTAAACCCCTAAACCCTCAACCCCAAACCCTAAACCGGATACCCTGGAGCCGAACCTCGAAAAGGGTTCGGTCAGGGTTCCAGATTTAGATTGGGGATTACGGCTAGTTTTGCTTCAAATCCCTTTTGTTTTGGTCAGCAAGTTGCTAGCCTATGTTTAGGGTTGAGGTTCAGGTTTCAGCTTTGGGTTTCATTCAGGAAAGGCAGACCATCTGCTCGGGTGCATTCTCACTGCCGTTAGACTGGGCCCCCGCGCCGGCGACATGCTAAACCCTAAAAGCCCTAAAAGCCCTAAACCCTAAACCCTAAACCCTAAAAATCCTAAATCCTTAACCCTAAAAGCCCTAAAACCCTTCAAAGTAAAGAGAGTTGAGAGGAAGTCCCGGGGGCTGAGCCGAACGAAGCTAGGCCAGCGAGGGCGTTTCAGATTTCGGAGCTCCGCACCCATCGCTGGGAGGTTCCCAGACCCCCGGGAGGATCCAAAAAGTAGATCCCCCAATTGGGGGTTCCTATGAAGTACCCTTAGTAGTATAGCCCCAAATTAGGGGATCTACTTTCCAGATCCTTGCGGCGGTCTGGGTTTGGGTTTTTGTGTTATCGCCCCTGTGGGGGTAAAGGAGGGGCCCTCAACGGGGACCCCTACCCTACAATGTGCTATAGAATGGGTATATAATAGCTATACTAAGGGTATATACCTAGGGGTCCTTATTAAGGGTCCTTCCTTTTACCCTTGGATGTAAGGTTTAGGGTTAGGGCACCGACATATTAAGTTGAATTCCCCTGACTTGGATCTGCTGATATAGAACTCTGGAAAACTGCCAATACTGTTCCTTTGGGTTCCCTGTTAATAGATATAGTAGACGATACCCCGAAACCCTATTCCAGTTAATGAGGCCCCTACACCCCTTAGCACCCTTTTAGCATCCCTTACAGGAACCCTTGCAAGGAACCCGGCTCTATGTACTATAGATCCCTATAGGAAAGCCAAGCGACTGAGGTTTCCATTCAGCTTGCCGAATGCGATAAGGCTGCCGGTCAGGGTCACGCCACCTCGGGTAGGAACTGGGCTCCCGGTTTGGGATTCAGGGGGCCCCACTCAATTCAAGCTACCATGAAAAGGATAAGCGACGACATTTCCGCGATGGTATCTTAAGCCAAACTTGAACATGTTGGGTTTGGGGGTTTGGGAGTTTGCAGCTCTAGAGTTTGAGGTCAGGAGCCGCAAACAAAAAGCCGAACCCTAAACCCTCAAACTCCAGACCCCAAGCCGTAAAGCCCAAACTCGAAATCCTGTACAGACCCGAGGAAACCCTTACAAAAAGCCCTGATTTACAAAACAAACTCGTAACAGCCCACACGATCCCACACTCAAAAACTTATACTGCAAGCCTTTTCTTCTCCCTCATCGGAGAATCTCCAAAAAAAACTGCATGTTTGACTCGAACGGGACCTGAATCATTTCTTGTACGATTCCTTCGGGTTCGACACTCTGTTTAGGACTTAGGGTCTAAAGGCTTGAAGAAGGCGCTTGAAGAGAATTTCCAATACCCTCCCTGAGGATTCCTCAATATACTTAGACTGCATAAAACCCTAAACCTTAAACCCTAAACCCTAAACCTATATTATGAAGCCCCGCCGAAGCCTGCACACTAAGCCTTAAACCCTAAACCCTAAACATTCTCGGTGGTCGGAGTTCCAGCAGATGCCCGAAAAGTAGGTGGCGAGTGGCCTAAACCCTCATACAACCTCTCTTATCACCCCAAATCTCTCATTCTAGCAACTCTCATGGGAGTTTTCGAAAATTAGGGGTTCCTTAGCTTGGTGTCCTTATAATAAGGATCCTACTATTTCGGGTACTCTATACGGTCCCCGATTGTCGGAAGCCACCTTACAGTAGCTTCAAGGAACCCTTGAAGGAAGCCTACTGCAACTCGTAGGGCCCCAGATAGCCGGGCCGCCGATGAAGTCGCCGAGGATGGCGGAGGTGTTCTCCATCGTGGCCTGGTGTTGGGCTGAGGAGGTTCTTCCATTGGGAGGGTGGGAGTTAAGTTAGAGTTTCATTTAGGGCTAGGGCTCGAGATCATGGGTTGTAGTTGTAGTCGTCGTCGTAGTAGTGGCAGTGGTAGTGGTAGTAGTGGTAGTAGTGGTAGTAGTGGTAGTAGTGGTAGTAGTACTAGTAGTAGTAGTAATAGTAGTAGTAGTAGTAGCAGTAGTAGCAGTAGTAGTAGTAGTAGTAGTAGTAGCAGCAGCAGCAGTTGTAGCAGCAGCAGTCATCGTCGTCGAAGGCAGCAGCAGCAGCAGCAGCAGCAGAAGCACCACCAGTAGTGATCAGTACTGGTAGTAGCAGTGGTGGTAGTTGTAGTACGAGGAGGAGCAGGAACAAGAAGAGCAGCAGCAGCAAGCGCAGTGGTCTTGGCCGTGGCCTAATATACGGGCCTGAAGGTTTTTCGCTGTATGATCTAGGTTCAGAGGCAAAGGGTTTCGGTTGGAGGGTCTGGGGCTTTGAGTTTAGGGTTCAGGTGTAGGTGTGATTCCTACTTAGAGGATCATGGGACTTAGTAAGTAGGTTATAATTGGGGTTATAAGTCCCCTAAGTGGGGTCATCCTAATGATATCCTACTTATAACCTTACTTCCTAAGTCCCATGAGCCTTCAAGTATGGAGTGTACTCTGAATGCTAGCGCTACTATCACTAGCATGATTCGTTCGACCACTACACTCAATGACTCTCATACTGAAGCTGCACGGTTGATGATATAAGTCCTGCATTACTTTAATGACCCTAATCTATGGGAATTATGGTCTATCCTTTATTATGGGTAGTGCAGGATTTATATCATCAGCCGTATCACTACATTTTATCACTCTGCCTTGCAACAGCATGTGCCATCTTTCGGTTGAAAAACTCGTCACATCCTGCTGTCCAAACACGAATCCCGAGGCGACAGCAGGACCTGCTGTCTTTGAAAGCCGAGCCGCTCCGGAGACTGGTCCTTGGTACCATAGGGCCCTAAATAAATAAAAATGTTATTTTGCGGGGTCCTTGATATGATTATAGTGTAATGATGAAGGCCTCTAAATTATGCTTTGCGGAGGGGACTGGACCCTGACTTGAGGGTTTCAACAAAAACTCACGCACTTTTTCCGAAGGCGCCAGATCTGCCCGTCAAGGACCCGTTGCGACTTAAAAAGGAACCCAGAGAGCCCAATACCCCTTAATCATGGAATATACCTTACATCATGAGGGGCTTCATATTATTATTTAAGCTTTTTTCTTTAATTAAGGGATATTGGGCTCTCTGGGAATGTTGTTGCGCACGACTTTCCTGCGGGGCCTGGACCTTTGAGGTCCCAGAATCGCGGCCCATGACGGGACCACACTGCGGGAAACAATAAATCAATCTCTGGGTTGGCCTTTAGGGTTTAGGGTTTAGCTAACTTGAAAACAAGTAGTATATATGTAAGCTCCCTATTGTAAAGCCAGCTTCTGAAGATAGTTTGAATAACCTAAGGGACAACCCAGAATGTCTAAACTTCTCTGCAACTTGGTTGCATGCGCGAGACGCAAAGCTCATAAGACCGGTGTCAAGTACACCGGTGGAAGCGAGCAGAGCATTAGCAAGGTTGGGGGTTTTGGGCTTAGGGTTTCGACTGGGTTTAGCAATAAGCAGGAGCGTGAAGGATAAGACCATGAGAAGCTTCATGAAAAGGTATACCTGACAAGCATTCAATAACTCTAAACCATAAACCTGAACCCTAAACCCCGAAACCCTAAACTCTAAACCCTAAACCCTAAACTCTAAACTCTAAACTCTAAGCTCCAACACCTGAACCCTACAACCCCAAACCCTAGACAGGTTAAAAGCAGCCTCGAAGGGGCGATCATCGCAGGCCCAGCCTGGGAATTGAAGTAGCCAGGAAGAAAAGCATCCAAGCTCTACTATGTTGATTATACTTTGGGTACGGCCCCCATACAGTAGCTATTAAGGTCCTGATATATATATATATATATATATATATATATATATATATATATTATCCAACTGTTACTGAGACGGTGCAGTACCCAAATTCTATTATATTATAGTAAACAGTATACTTTAGTATGTTACATCATAGTATGTTACAACATCCTATAGGACTATAGGATACTAAGGTATAGAATATCATATTCATGCTCATGTACACATCTTATTCAGCGCGTATGTTTAACAATGGTTCCTTCACTGAAAAGGCGGTCAACAAAAAGACCTTCAGCCCTAAACCCTCAACCCTAACCAAAATAGGGTTGTCCAAGGTAATTAGTTGCCAATCCGCACTATGTCATGTTTTCGCTACATTGGAACGGGTTTCTTAATTAAAAAGATTGCACTATATTTTTATGCAAAAAAACCGAACCCTAAACCCTAAATCCCAAACTCCAGATTCTGAATATAGATGCACTATACTAACCCTAAATTCCCTAAACCCTCAACATCCGAACCCAGCGGCTTGATGTCATATTATAGTATAGTACCTTCTCGTATGTGAGACACTGTGGTCTATAGTATGTTACAACATCTTAGAGAATAGATAATAATAAGCCCCAAACCCTGAACCCTGAATTCCCTAAACCCTAAACGCTAGATTCCCTAGACCCTAAACCCTAAATTCCCTAAGCCCTAAACCCACAAGACCAGAACCCAGCGGCTTGGCCGTGAAGGACTCGAAGCATCCCGGGGCAGCACAAGGATCCTCGGTTGACTTCTGAACCCCTTCTGAAAGCTAAGCTGTTAGCCTCCTTCAGGGTTTAGGGGTTAGGGGTTAGGGTTTAGGGGTTAGGGCTTTAGTGTTTCCCGAAACCTGAACCCCTGAACCCTGAACCCTAAACCCTAAACCCCTAAGCCCCTAAACCCTAAACCAAAAAGTTAAAGTCCTAAGAGCCAACCAGAAGAACGCCAAGGATCTTCCTCCGTGGGATCCACGCAAAGGTCGGCTTGCCTTAGCTGCTTGGGTTTAGGGGTTGGGGGTTTAGGAAGATAGGAATTTAGGGTTTAGGAAGTTCGGAATTTAAGCTTCAAGCGGCCTTTCGTTTATAGTGTAGGAACCTGAATAAGAAACCCTTGGTCTATAACCCCAAATAGTAGGATTCATATAAGGAACCCTAATAAAGGCCCAAGGTTTCTTAATCAAGTTCCTACATTAGGGTTTAGGTCTGGGGTAAGTTTAGCTGCTTCTGGGTTCTTGTTAAGGAATTTAATTTAGGTCACCATAATAGGGATCTATATGGGTTCCTTTAAGGGTTCTATAAGTGTTCCTTTACGGGTTTAGGAATTTGGGATTTTCATCTCAGTTAACATAATAGGGATCTATAGTGAATAATATGGTGTCTGTATTACGGCCACTACATTTGGGAGCTTCGAAGAACAGGGGGCCCTTATATAGTACCCTAAATAATTAATAGGACCCCTATTATTAGGACCCCAAAAATAGGGCACCCCTAATTTTCGGAAACTGCCATCTAAATCAAGTAACAAGAGCCCAGGCTTAGGGCGGCTGGGGAAAGCATCGGGTTTGCGCTGTTGGCTTTAGGAGTTCAGGGCTTTATTCCGGAGGTCAGGGCTTCGGACCCAGAGCCTCCAAAACCCCTTAATTAAGGAATATACCTTAAATTATAACAAGATCCCTATTAGAATGTAAGGTATATTCCTTAATTAAGGAATATACCTTAAATTAGAACAAGATCCCTATTATAGTGTAAGGTATATTCCTTAATTAAGGGTTTTTTGGAGGCTCTGGGGAGTTTAAGGCTTAGGCTCTGCTGAGGCTGCAGGGCTTAGGGCCTGGGGCTTAGGGTTTAGGGCTGAGGGTCTAGAGCTTAGTGTCTGGGGTTTAGGATTTAGGGTTTAGGACTGAGGGTCTAGGGCTTAGGGGCTGGTTTTGAGGGTGTTCGTCGGTCCCTAGAAGGCTAGAATCTTGTATCGAAAGAGGGCTGCGTGGTAACCAAGATTACAAAGTTTACGAACTCAGCGACGAACCCTAAACCCAAGTTGCGTCTTCTTCAGCATGAAGGGCACGATGAAGTTTCGGAATCCTCGGTTCTTCCGCAGCATATTAAGTCTTCAGGTTTTACAGTAGGGTAAGTTTAGGGTTTACTTAAAAGATATGGCTTAGGACTGCGGGTTCAAAACCTCAACTCCAAAAGCCCTAAACCCATTTTTGGCGCTAGTCAGTTTTACGAAAAGACCGCAACATGCAAAAAGGGCAAAGGATTTTGTACTGGGGACAAAGAGTCGAGCTTTGAAACCCGTGGAGGTGTTCATGCCTCCTATCGTGGTGCTCTTGCTCACGATGCCCTCGCAGTGGGCCCTGCGCTTGAACTCGTAGTGTTGCAGAGCTTCCAAGAGTGAGAATCCATCTGCCTGCATCTGGGTCCCCTAAACTCTTAAACTTGAACTACTATTTGCTTAAGATCCCCCAAAAAATAAAAAATAACAATAAAAACCGTATGGGGGTAATATAGGGACTATTATTTTTATTGTTTGGCGGGTTCTTAAGCAAATAGTAGTGAACCTAAAGCCTACACCCTAAGATCCAGGTTTGGGTGCAGTCGAAAGATTCGGGTCTCGGGCACAGGGCATCAGAGCTCTCGCCTTCACGTTCAGCAGGACCTTTCCGAGCACCCAGCCGTCCTCCATTGCCATGTTTGCACCTGGGTTTAGGGTTTCCCAGAGACTCCAATATCCCTTAATTAAGGAATATCCCTTAAATTATATTAGGGATCCTATTAAAATTTAAGGAATATTCCTTAATTAAGGGATATTGGAGTCTCTGGGTTTAGGGTCTGGGCAGGTGCCACGAACCAACTCTTCAAAGTTGCGGGCCCAAGCCCGATACCTAAACCTAAACCCTACCTCTACCCCAAAGAGCCTACCTTTAATAAGACTTCCTTATATGATTCCTTAAAGAGGTAGGTTATTTGGGGTCCAGATAGAACCTAAATTTCAAACACTCCGTTGGGGACTGGGCTTTCCAATATGCCCTTGAGCGTGATGGTACCTCTCCTTTCACAATCATACAGTCTTAACAGTGAAGCCCAGTCCCTCCCGCGGGCCCACCCAAAAAGCAACAAGAACCAGTGCTCCACTGTGGCGAACCCTGCCTTAACCCTAAACCAATAAACCCAAAGCCATATATAATCCTGAAACGGTCTAGGGTTCAGAGCATGGGCTCGACCTCTAAACCGCAACCGCATCACAGAGTCTAAGGCCGTTGTATAGTTTAGGGTTCAATGCTGAACCCTCTTTCTGGTAGTACTCTCCTAGTTGCAGACTGCACGGGATACCCAAACCCCACTCACTCACACCCCCCCAGCTTGAAACCTGAACCCTGAAACCCGAACAGTAAACCCTTGACCCCGAGATTAAACCCCATAAGACAGATATAGCTACACTCTGTGCCACCCCAAAGTCGCAATTAAGTCTTAAATCCCACCTTCCAAGCACCCTCGAAAGTCTATACTATGGTCTTGCGGTTGGCTTTAGTTTTTGTCTCGACCTGCAAACAAGAGCCCCTGAACCTTGCAACAAACCCGATGAAACACCCGACCGAACGGAGATAGCCCCCAAACCCTGCACCGTAAAGCCCAAACCCCCAAACCCTAAACCCTACTTGGAGGTTCATGGGTAGTTCTAAGTGGGTTCTATGTCCCCAGTATAGTTACCCTACTTATAACCCCACGTATAACTACCCATGAACCTCCAAGTAAACCCTACAGGAACCTTACAGGGAACTCCAGACAGTTGGAATATGGTTTCAGGGTAGGATACCCTATAATTTACCATAGAAGGGTTAGGATAATCATATTCCAACTTTCTGGCTTTTACCTTAAACCGTCTTAAACCCTAAACCCTAAACCCTAAACCCTAAACCCTAAACCCCAAACCCCAAAGCCGCCTTGGCCCATGAAGGGAGCGGTGGCATGGGCAGCGTCGCCCAGGAGCACGATCTTTCCAAGAGGAGAGATCCTGGTGTTTGGCTTAAGGCTTCAGGATTCAGTGCGGTGGGGCTTCGGGTTCCGGGTTTAGGGCTTAGTGTTTGAGGTTTACGGTTAGGGAGTTCAGGGTTAGGGTTTAGGGTTCAGGGTTTAGGGGTTAAGAGTATGATGCTGTACTTTCTGTGACTTCTAGTGTGTGTGCGTGTGTGTCATATGCTGTACATGGCAAGCTACCTTTTCAAGGACTTATATAAGAAAGTTAGTCCAAGTAAACCCTAAAAGCTAGGTTGTATGGGGCCCAGGTAGAGTAACCCAAAGTTCAAAGTGTCCAATTACCCCCTGAACTCTAAGCCCAAAGCCATAAACCCTTTTAAGGATTAGACTTTAAACCCTAAAACTTAAACCCTAAACCCTAGCATATTTAAGGCCCCTATAATGCACCCAAGGATCCCTATAATAGCCCTTATAGTAGCCCTTATGGACCCCTTTACAAGGACCCGTTTAAAGGAACCCGATTCTAATTATTCTGGCCCCCCAAAAGTAAATCCAAAGATCCAGGAAGCCCTAAACCCTTTTAGGGATTAGACCCTAAACCCTAAACCTTAAACCCTAAACCCTAGCATATTTAAGGCCCCTTTTATGCACCCAAGGATCCAAGAAGGCAGCTTCGGCTGGGAGTAGACGCCTTGGGATGTGGGTTGCTCTTGTTTGGAATTAGAGCTTCTTTTTTTTGAGGGCTCCTTTTTGGGTCCGCACGAAGTGTACCAAGAGCCTATGGAGGCGGATTTGGAGTTTAGGGTTCGAGGTTTTGGCTCTTTGGAGCTTCTTTTCCCCGAGGCCTTGGGATGGTTTGGAGTTTAGGGCTTTACTTAGAGGATCATGGGACTTAGCAAGTAGGTTATAATTGGGGTTATAAGTCCCCTAAGTGGGGTTATCCTAATTATAACCTACTTATAACCTTACTTACTAAGTCCCATGAGCCTTCAAGTAGGGTTTAGGACTGAAGGGCTTTAGGGGTTCAAGTACAAAGGTTTGGATTCAAGGGTTTTAAGGTGTTTGTGTTTTTATCTGAAGGCAGGTGTGAGGGCGATCTTGGAGGAGACTTTACCTTTTAGGGCTGATGGCGTTCTGCAATAGGACCCAAAAAAAGCACATAAGCAAAAAAGAAGCCCCTTATAAAGAAGCCCAATAAGGTAAGGATATCCCTATGAAATGCTTATGCTTATGTCCTTTTGGGGTCCCTAATACAAAGGTTTTTTGAGGGGCTCATCGTGGGTTGATGGGGTTCGGTACCTGTTTGCAACGACTTGGAGGTTCATGGGTAGTTATAAATGGGGTTATAAGTCCCCTAATATGAGTTATAAGTATATAGTTACCCTACTTATAACCCTACCTATACCTACCCATGAACCTCCAAGCAGTCACTGTGACTGGACTGCTCCTGATTCCACTTTTGCAGGTGTTTCAACTACGCTGGCTACAGCGGTGGAGGATCCTCTTCTTTAGTGTTTAGGGTTTAGAAGGCTTGTTTTACACCATAACGTCTTCGCGTTATGGCACATCAAAGTATTTATGAATAGAGGGTTCCTCTACAGGACCAGAAAGGAAATCAAAGTTTAGTTCGCGTCTTATGGTCCAAGCTGGGACAAGCCGCCCCAATCAAAGCAGATGTCGGCATTCTCGATGGCAGCGCCGAGGGTCGGATGCTGCGAGAGGATATCTTTGGTCATGTCCTGCTTGGGGGTTCATGGGTAGCTATACGTGGGGTTATAAGTAGGGTCCCTTTAAAGGGATCTATAGGGCTATAGGGTTTCAATTAGGGTTATGTCCTGATGTTGTTACGGCCCAAGCTTTAGCAAGTCCAGGGCAAACAACTCCGTATAATCCCTCACAAGGCCGTATGAAACCCACATACCACCCCATAAAACCTAAGCACCCTGTTCAAGCCTATTAAGCCCGGAACCGGGGGCTAAGAGCCTCGAAAGTACACCCCAAAACATGGTGTCCATGCTTGAAGCTTTTGACATGGGTTCCAGGCTCTTAAGTGTACCTGGACCCTACAAAACCTGTAGTTTGTCAAATCTGGCCCATCAACAATGAAGGCTTTAACCCGAACAGATAGTTCGGTTGATGATAAATATAAATCCTGCATTACCTTAAGGACCCTAAACTATTGAAGTTCTGGTGATTACATTCCTTCTTATGGGTAATGCAGGATATATATATATATATATATATATATATATATATCATCAGTCCTAGACCCTAAACCCTAAAACCTCATAGAACCCTTAAAGGTACCCTTATAGATCCGCTTGGACGAACCGTGGTATCATCAGTCGTACTTGAAGGCTCATGGGACTTAGTAAGTCAGGTTATAAGTAGGTTATAATTAGGATAACCCCACTTAGGGGACTTATAACCCCAATTATAACTTACTTACTAAGTCCCATGATCCTCTAAGTAGACCCTAAACCCTAAACCCCATAGATCCCTTTAAGGAACCCTATAGATCCCTTTAAGGAGCCCTTTAAGGAACCCCTACTAAGTCCCATGATCCTCTAAGTAGACCCTAAACCCTAAACCCCATAGATCCCTTTAAGGAACCCTATAGATCCCTTTAAGGAGCCCTTTAAGGAACCCCTACTAAGTCCCATGATCCTCTAAGTAGACCCTAAAGCCTAAACCCCATAGATCCCTTTAAGGAACCCTATAGATCCCTTTAAGGAGCCCTTTAAGGAACCCCTACTAAGTCCCATGATCCTCTAAGTAGACCCTAAACCCTAAACCCCATAGATCCCTTTAAGGAACCCTATAGATCCCTTTAAGGAGCCCTTTAAGGAACCCCTACTAAGTCCCATGATCCTCTAAGTAGACCCTAAACCCTAAACCCCATAGATCCCTTTAAGGAACCCTATAGATCCCTTTAAGGAGCCCTTTAAGGAACCCCTACTAAGTCCCATGATCCTCTAAGTATTATTGAGAAGCACCGGGGCGCCTGACAGGGAGAAGCCAAGGAGAGCCCAAAACTCCATGCGACGCGTTCAAAGCCCCGAACTTCCATAGGGTTTAGGGTTTAGGGTTTAGGGTTAAGGGTTAAGGGTTTCGGGTTTAGGGTTTCGGGTTTCGGGTTTCGGGTTTAGGTCTTACGATTTAGGGTTTCGGGTTTCGGGTTTAGGGTTTAGGGTTTCGGGTTTAGGTCTTACGATTTAGGGTTTCGGGTTTAGGGTTTAGAATCCCCTTGATACCCCGAGTGCCAGAGACCCCACCATTCACTTTCAAGAAGGGAAACCAAAAAATGACGAAAGGGCGTCAGGGTATATATAGTACTGGCAGACCTAGAAACAGCTCTGGAGCTACAACCCTTAAGTTACGCTAGGTTCCTGAGTAGCCCCATTTACAACAAGGGCGCCGTTTTTCGCACTATTCGGTTTTACTTAGGGAACCCAAAAAGAGAAAGTGCAAAAAGGTACCACTCAGGAACCCAGTATGCAATTTTTATAGTGTACGGCACGGCTTGGGGCAAGAGAATTCCAGCAAGCTCCTCGTACGGAGATCGGAGGGAGTCGAAGTAATCTAGGGGCCTGAATAGTTATTAGAAGCACAGTACACTGTAATTGTAATAAGGAAACCCCCAAAAAGTAGTATTGGTAGTAGTTTAGGCCCCTATAGTAATCTCCTCTGGTGGGCCCTGCACCCTAAACCCTAAACCCTAAACCCTAAACCGGGTTTTCTTACCCAGAAACCCAATTCTAGTTATTGCGGCCCGCATACCAACCCAGATCTTTGGGAGGATCCCAGACAGTAGATCCCTTAAGGGAGTTCCTATCTGCTATTTGCTTAAGAAACACCCAAAAAATAAAAATAATAATCCCTATATTACCCCATAAGGGATCATTTGGGGGTTCTTAAGCAAATAGTAGCTATGAAGTACACTTTAGCCGTATCGGATCCCAAACTAGGGGATCTATTTTCCAAATCCTCCCGAGGGTCTGGGAATCATACCCCTACACCCTGGACCCTAGACCCCGAGCGATCCTTCATCTTGTCTTTGACAATCGTGGAGTCCCACTTCTCACTGACCAGCTCATCGTTGCGGAAAGCCAGGAGGTGAGCATCATGTCGACTCTCACCTGCTCTTTGGGGGTGAATATAGGGCTTAAGTGATTACCAATATTGTCCTGGTGGTTCCTTAATATGACTATACTATAATGATACACCTGCTCTTTCGGGGCTAATATACTTACCTTTGGTTTGTAAGGAATGGAGGAATGGGGTACAATTATAACTACTATTACTACCATGCTTCCATTCCCTACTAACCAAAGGTAAGTATAGGGACTAAGTGATTACCAATATTGTCATGGTGGTTCCTTAATGTGACTATACTATAATACAGTAGAAGCCAGAAAGTTGGAATATCATTATCGTAATCCCTTTAAGGTAAATTATAGGGGATCCTACCATTAATCCATATTCCAACTTTCTGGAGTTCCCTTTAATACACCTGCTCTTTGGGGCTAGGGTTCAGCGTTGTGAGGCTTAGGGTTGAAGGTTTTGGGTTTGGGCGTAGGGTTTAGGGGTTTAGGGCTTGGGGTGTCGGGTTTAGGGTTGTGGGTTTAGGGTTCGGGTTTAGGGTTTGGGGGTGTGGGGTTTAAGGTCGATCCCGCGACCTTCGGCCTACGGCCAGGGTTCGAAAGGCTTTGTCCCACATCCTTAGAGCCTGAAATTAAGAACCCTTATGACAGCCGGATAAACTCTCATAAACCCCTATTGAAACCCTATAATTATCAACTTAAGCCTTCATAGCGCCAACTTAAACTTTCGTAAACTTAACGCTCCAATAAAACCCTCCTACATAAACCCCTCTAACACCGGCGTCCGGGTCACCCGAGCCAGCCGTCCAGTCCACGACGTGGTAGCCTCGCTTGCTTGAAGGGGAGCAGTGATATAATCTACTGGCAGGTTCCCGAAGAGCCTGCTAATTCTAAAGGCATGAGCGAGTAGGGTTTGGGAGTAGGTTTTGGGAGTCTAGATTTAGGGTTGTAGGATTTAGCGCGTAGGGTTGGACGTGAGGGTGTAGGGGTTTAGGGTCCTGGCAAAGGGTGTTTGAGGGGCTGTATAAGAGTTCCGTGAGAAGCCGACTGACTGAGGTTCCTGTACTATCTTGTCTAAGACAGCTCTAGCATTCAGCCCTGAACTAGTAAAACCCTAAAGCCCAAAATCTAAACCCCTAAACCCCGGAACCTACAGTCCAAATCCCTAAACTTGCAAAGCCTAAACCCTAAACCCTACTCTTGGGTTTAAGTAGCCATAGCTGTGCAAGATGTTTCCCGGTGAAACCCTATATTTAGGGTTTAGGAGTTTAGGGTTTAGGGGTTTAAAGGTTTAGGGCTTCGGGGTTTAGGGCTTAGGGCTTAGGGGACCCTGGAATCCTGCGCCTGCCTTTGTCCCCCACTTCGTACCAGTTGATCTGCATCATTCCAGGGTCCGAGCGGATCTCTTTGGAGCAGAGGGCGTACAAGCATCGGAAGCCTTGGGTTCAGGGATTCAGGGTTTTAGGATTCAGGGATTTATGGTTTAGGGTTCAAGGATTTATGGTTTAGGGTTTAGGATTTTAAGGTTCAGGGTTTAGGATTTTAAGGTTTAGGGTTTAGGATTTTAAGGTTTAGGGTTTAGGGCCTTTTACTGCTCATGTGGGGTACAGGGTTGATAAAGTTTAGGGTGTAAATAGGGCTTGAGGGTTGTAGGGTCTGAGGAATGGTACTTAGAGGTTCATGGGTAGTGATAACTGGGTTACAAGTAGGGTAACTGTACTTATAACCCATATAAGGGGACTTATAACCCTACTTAGAACTGCCCCTGAATCTGTAAGTAAGGATTCGGTCTGGGGCCCGGCTATCGGGCTCAAAACAGGGCTCAGCGGCCGACTTGACAGGCGTAGTCAAGGGTGCAGGGGCGCAGCAGGGGCTTGATGGTGGCTTAAGAGGGGCCTAATGGAAACTTAATAGAAGCCGAATAACGACTGCATAGACGTGATTCATAGTAGCAATCGTAGCAATAGGAGTAGTACACGTAGTAGTAATCGTTTTGATTAGTATTAACAGCAACAGAGGCTTGAGGTTTGAGTTATATAAAAACAGTCTCCAGGACACCTGTGTGCTCAGGCTTGTCATCGTTGAAGATCTTTCCTTACTTGTCCACTTTGCTCGGGGGACTGTCGAGTAACCTTTGGGATCGGGGTTTAGGGTTCCTATAAGGATGGTAACTCCCAGGAAAAGTCAAGGGTTGCCTACTTTACTACCAAGTTTCTCTTCACCACGCTGTGGATGCCATCGGCAGCAACCACCAGATCGGCTGTGCATGTCACTCCGTTCTCGAAAGTCAAGACGACACCTGGCTGCATTTCAGTGTGCCGAGTTTCGGGGCTAAAGTTTGGGGGTAAGGTGTGCAGCCTTTTCGGGTTAGGGTGTCAGTTTTAGGCTTTTGTGACGTAGGGCTTGGGGTTTAGGCTTTAGGGTTATTTGGGGTTGTGATTGCGGTTTCGGGCTTCGGGTTCAGTTTGCTGCTGCTTCGGGCTTCGGGTCCAAAGCTTAAGGAGCTTGTTTTGGTTCATATAAAACCCAAGAGAATCTCAAAAAATAGATCATGTTTATTATGGTTCTGGGGGTTATAGACAAGTTGGGCTTAATCTCGACACTGCGGCACCCTCTCTGTTCTCGGCGATCTCGACAAGCTTGTGGCCCAACTTGAAGGTATCCTTGGGCTTAAGCTACGTTTTCGGGTTCAGGGCTACATGTAGGGGCCTTAATAATTAGAATAGGGTTTTGGGGTCCAAAATAATATTGGTATCATTTAGGCCCCTAGAGAACCAGTGGACCCTAAGTCGCAACTTCAACACATGGGACTAAGACTGCACCCATGTCTACGACTGCGACTACTTCTTCTACTACTACTTCTTCTTCATCTTCTTCCTAGACCAGCTGGTTCTAACCCTACTACTAGACCTAAGAGTGACCTAGGAATGAAAAGGGTGCCCTTTTTGTTCTAAAGGGGGTTATAAGGTCACCTAAACCTGAAGAAAGGGAACAAGGGCCTACTCTGGGTCCTAGACTACAACGGTGGCCCAGGCTCAGGCGGCATGCTGTCAACGAGCATGCTCTGCAAATCCTTGCGCATGGTAATGCGGGGACCCTTCACCTCAGCATTTGAAGGTCTAGGGTGGGTTCAAGGTTTAGGGCTGAGGGCTCCCGGCCTAAACACTATTCTAAACCCCAAAGCGGCTTCCAAACTTGAATACCTACCAGTATACGTAGTATCCATTACGCTCAAGACCTGCTTGAAATTGTCAAAGCAGCTACATCGGGGCAGATAGGCTGCAGAATTTGACCTGAGTCTCATGGGCCCTCAACCGTAAAGCATAAACCATTATGTAGGCCCTCGCCCTTCCGAAAGAAAATGGCAGCGCAAGGCGTTTAGAGTCTATGATTTTGGCCACAATCGTTACTATTTTCCAAAACCCTACGCCTCAATAAAACACACAAACAAGACTAGTAGCCTTTCAAAGCCCTAAACCCTGAGCCCTGAACCCTACATCCTAAACCCTAGACCCATGGCAAGACACCCTTTCTATCAGCGGTAACTATTCGGCTTCACTCAAGGAATGGTTGGGGAGCGCAATCCACAGCAGCACGCGGCACTAGCTGACAAATATTGAACAGCGTGCAGGTACCTGCTATGATTTGCCTTGCGCACATTCCCGCATCAGTGCAAGATTCTGCAAGACCTCCCGGAAATCCTTGCATCGAATTGGGTTCAGAGCTCAAGTAAAGAGCTGCTCTGATGCAGTCTTTGCTGCGCTCTTCTCTGAAGCATCCCAGCTCGTCTCAAACGAAGCTGTTTGCTGCGACCAGCTACCTTTGCACGAGGGTGAGGTAGTCATGGACATGATGGGTCAGGTTCTGCACATCTCCAAGAACGTCGACGCCGGTGTCGAGGAGATACGAGACCCAGGTGCGCCAACGGCGGTCTTCCCAGCTGTCCTGCAAAGCTGTCCAGTAGCCGCAACCGGTAACCAGCCGTGCAGTTGCGGCACTAAAGATTGGAAGCATTGCTGGGAGAAGCGCCCAGGCAAAGTAATTGTCTAGGCCAATCCGTGTTGCCCCCGTCTCGTCATAGATCTTTTTGGTTTCTGCGTGCAAGTCGTCTTTATCTTTGGTTTCAAGCCAGAACACGGTCTGATCCCTCCAAGCTTGCTTCCCCTGCTTCGTGGTCTCTTGAATCTTGTGTTCAGCTTCTGAACCAGGGCGCCGGCTCATTATCTTGCTCATCACCATCGCGCATGCGGCATTTACGCAAAACAACGTACATATTACAGGCAAACTGATGTAGCAGTATGCGACGAGTGCCGGCACCGCCAAGATGAACAATGGAACAAGTCCACGAATACAAGGCTCCACTGCAGGGTCAGTCTGGTCGAGAACTCCACTTTCTTTTCCCAGTGTGAGTCCCTCTCCTCTTTAGATGCCGTCGGATCCTCGTGCAGCTTTAGGAATGCCATGGAGGATTGTAGGAGAGCGTGGGAACCCATCAGGCACCCGCACGAGCTCGCATTCGAGGAGCTTCCTTTTGGCCACCATGAAGATGGCATTGGCTTGCTGCCACCTCGTGAGGCTGCTACTGGTGACGATCCCCACGATGAGGGCGACGTCTGCTTTGAATGCCAACAGCGCGGGAACGATGACGAAGACCAGGACTTGTAAGGGTTTGTGCCAGGGCTCCTCTTTCCCGGGTCTCGGCGGGCCAAAGATAATTGCGAAGACGAAAGGCTTCACGAAGCTGGCCACAAACTGCAACCATACCGGCATACGGACCTTGAGGCCCGCTGCTTTTGATAGTCGGTTGCTGAGAGCCGTACCATCGCCCGCAAGGCGGCGCTGCTCGAACGCAGGCGCTCGCGCGCCAGGCTCGCCGGCTACCCAAACCAAGGTGGCTAGGGAAGCCAAAGCCACGAGCGCCCCGAGAAGAACTATCGAGGCCGCTTTGGAACAGCTACTAGCACGAGCATGCGACATCATCTTGATGCTTCTTTTAGCTCTCTTGTGTCTAGACTTTCGCTGGTCTGGCGATGGCTGCGGTGCATGCAGCTTGCACGATCGGATTCCAACGCCTCAAAACCGTGCAGTAGTCGGAGCCAGCAAAGCTAGAGCCAGCCAAGGTCACCGTATCGATGTCCGAGGAGGCCACGACCTGGCGGGAGACCACCACGGTTTCGAGATTTGGGTTCCGTTAAGAGGTTCTATTATGGTTTCTACAACGGTTCAGGGTTAAGGGGTTAAGGGTTTATTTAGGGTTTAGGGGTCTATAAGGTTTCTACAAGGGCCGTGAATGGCCCTAAACCCCAAACCCTTCAAGAAACCTTTGTAGGACCCTGTGAGACCCTTGAAGACCACTCAAAAGGACCCAAAAACCCTAAATGCCTAAGACTCTGAAACCCTAAGCCCCTGAACCACTTCATCCTGGCAGAACCCTTAAAGGAACCCCTATAGGAACCCTGACAGGACCCCTACTTGGAGGATCAGGGGACTTAGTAAGCAGCCATTTCAGAGAGTTATAGGTTTCATAACCCCAACTAGGATCCCTTGTAGGGTACTGTACACATTGCCTACTCGCTAAGTCCCCCGACCCTCCAACTTATAGAACCCTCAGAGGAACGCTTATGAGTGCCCTTGTAGGGACCCTTGCAGGACCTCTAAAACGTTGATTAAACCCCAAACCCCTGAACCACTTATTAAAACAACCCTCAGGAACCCGTGCGGGACCCCTAAACGCTAGCTTTCTGAAACTACACCAAACCCCAAACCAAAAAAATTCTGAAAACCTGAGCCTAAAACCCTAAACCCTAAAGCCCTAAACCCCAAATCCCTATTCCCGAAAGCCTGAAGACTAAAGCCCTAAAACTCTAAAACCTCCACACCCTAAAACCCTAAACACCCTAAAACCATCTAAAGCTCTAAACCCTAAAACCCAAAACCCCAAAAAAATCTAAAGCCCTGAAACGTTTTAACGCGCTAAAACCACGAAATTCCGAAGCCCTAACCCCTATATACCCTAGTACGGATGAGGTGCCTAAACCCTAAACCTTCAAACTTTTCACGACCCTAAAACACTAAAGCCTCTAAACCCACCTGGCCATCGACGAAAACCCCTCAACCCTATAGCCCTAAACCCTAAAAACTTTCTAAAGCCCTACAACCCTGAAACCCGAAACCTTCAAGCTTCCAGAACCCCTAAACCCCCTGAACCCTAAAACCCTGAACCCTAAAACCGTAAACCACCCTAAAACTTTTGAAAGCCCTAAACCTTTTAAAAGCCCTAAAACCCTAAAACCCTAAAGCCCTAAAGCTTTAAAACCCTATAGTACCCCTACAGTAACCCTTATAGATCCCTTCAAGGAACCCTAAAACCCCTAAAGCCCTACAGCAATAAAACCTCTAAACCCGCCTGGCCATCAAAGAAGCCCATTATACTATAATTATAGTAAGGAACCCTCGAAATAATATTGACCCTAAACCTAACCCTAAACCCTGCACCCTATTTCGGCCCCTATATGAACCCCTGAAGCCCACCTGGCCATCGAAGAAGAACTTCATCTCTTTCGGTGCATTGGACTTCGCCTCCCGGGTCTGAGAAAACTCGGCTTCCTTTAAAGAAACCCTCAAAGGAACCCTTGAGGGACTTAAAGGGTTTAGGGCTTTAGAGGTGTAGGGTTTAGGGCTTTAGAGGTGTAGGTTTAAAGACACGTTCAAAGGAACCCTTGAGGGACTTAAAGGGGTTCAGGGTTTAGGGGATTCGGGGTTTAGGGGTTAGGGTTTCGGGGTTCAGGATTTCAGGGCTTAGTGCCTTCCTCAAACTACTTGGAGGTTCATGGGTAGTTGAAAGCCGGGCTTCTTATTTGGGCTTATAACAAGGATCCTACAATTCAGGGTACCATATTAGGGTCCCTCATTTTCGAAAACGCCCATGTAAAGGGATCTGTAGGGTTGTAGGGTTTAGGGATTCGGGCTTAGGGTAGTTATAAGTCGGGATTCCTTTCAAGGAACCCTCAAAGGAACCCTTCAGGGATTCTTTAAAATGCTCCTTCAAGAGCCCCCAATATTCCTTATTCAAGCATCATACCTTAATTTGTAAAGGAGCTTCATACAATGATCTATATGGGGCTCGCTAAGGCTCTAAAGAACCCTTCAAGGATCCCTGAAAGCATACCGTAACGGTTCCTTTAAGGGCTCCCGTAAGCGTTCTAAGGGTTTCCTTCACTGGCGCATCTTTATTATTGAGGGCCCCTTTCAGGGTTGCTGTTCCTAAACGGGTTCTACACGCGTGCACGCAAACACCCACACACGCATACACACATACATACTCGTTGACATTGAATGCGCTGCCCGAAGAGTCAAGTTTTAGCGCACGTAACGAGACAAGCAATGGATGCCCGGCCATATGGCATGCTTTCAGACACATACATATTAGGGCTCAGGGTTTTGGGGCTTTGTGGGTTTAGAGGCTGGGGGATGTAAAGTTTAAGGGCTTGGGTGGTGTTTGTTAGCTTAAAGGGTTTTGATGTTGACATGGAGTTCTGTTGGGCTGTTATGGGTTCAGGGTTTTGGCTACTAGTACTCTAGATAAACCCTTAACCCTAAACTCCAAGCCCTAATATAGGGGCCTCAATCATTTGAATAGGGTGCTGGGGCTCATTATACTAGATTTATAATAAGGAACCCCCAAAACAATAGAGGTAATTATTTAAGCCTAAACCCTGCACCCCAAACTTTAGGCCCCAAAAATACTACACCCTAAACCCCAAACTCCAAGCCCTAATTACATCTAGGCCCTTGTGGCCCGTTTCCGAGCCTCGAGCACGTCTCCCAGGCCCAGCTTCTTCAGGATCTTCGCCCCTTGGGCCTGAGCTGCCCAGACCCCGGGAGAGTTAGGGTTTGGGGTTTATGGTTGAGGGTTTAGGGTTTGGGTTTAGGGTTTGGGTTTAGGTTTAGCCAGAAAGTACATATCCGAATTAGGGACCCTATACGTACTACTAAAGGGTACTGTAGAGGAACACCCCTTAAGGGATCCACTTTTTGGATCCTCCCAGGGGTGTGGGTTAGAATTCCATGGGGCTTTAGGGTTTAGGGTTTTAGCCCTAGGGTTGAGGGTTCAAGGGTTTAGGGCTTCAACGAGGCTGATGACAGGGCTTTATGGGGGTGTGTTCTAGTGGTTCCAGTGCTGTGTTTTTGATGGGGGAGGGGGCTTTGTGAGACCGAAATTGCGGCGGGCTTTATATGGCTTCATATAGCTGGGAACCTAACTGAGGCCCTGAATACCGCAGCCCTAAACCCTAAACCCTAAACCCTAAACCCTAAACCCTTAAACCCTAAACCCTAAACCCCTAAACCCTAAACCCTAAACCCTAAACCCATACCCTCTTCATTCTGGTGGGTTATAACATCCGAAGGCTTAGCTTCCCAGCCGCTGAACTAAGAACAGATCCATCCCCCTAAGCCCAAGACTCAAACCCTAAACCCGAGAATGCCCAAGGTGCCATGTTGAGTGAGCCACCACGGGTCTTCCACGAATCCCAAGCCTCATAGACTTGAACCTGATCTGCTTGGAAGCTCGTGGATTTGGGTTAGGGTTCAGGGGTTGAGGGGTTTGGGGTTCAGGATTTAGGGGTTTAGGGGTTTAGGGTTGAGGGATTAAGGGTTTAGGGGTTTAGGGGTTTAGGGGCGTAGGGCTTAAGGGTTTAGGGGTTTAGGGGCGTAGGGTTTTAGGGTGGGGTTTTAGGGGTTTAGGGGTTTAGGGTTTTCCGGGTTGGGGTTTGCGGTTTAGGGTCCGGGGCATAGCAATATGGTGATTGGTACATCAAGTGAAGGGCATAAGTCATTGTCAGTATCAAGTACCGTTACCTTACTGATTACCCAGACCCCCGGGAGGATCCAAAAATTAGATCCCTTAATAGGGATTCCGAAAAAAGCACCCTTAGTAATATAGGGCCACAAATTAGGGGATCTACCTTCTAGATACTCCCGGAGGTCTGGGTACCCGAGTTACTAAGGTCCCATGGGCCTTTGAGTCGGGTATGTATGGCTCGTACCCGTACGCCCTTTACGGGGGGTGTGGGGCTTATCGGGTTTATGACTTCTAGGCCATGTAGTATTTACTTAACGTCTATTGCTAGCATCTCCAGGAAACAAATTTTGCGCACGATACAGCCACCAAAACCCGAGTGGAAACCAAAGCCCAAGACACCTGAACGACAAAATCTGAAAACACTGACACAAACCCTGCCCCATAAAAATCCCGCATAGAAACTGTGAAAACCATAGTGCACCTCTCAAGGACGAATTTGGGGCTGAACTTTGCCGAGCTTTTCCGGCGATTGGAAAATCTTTTGCAATGTTAAGAAGGAGCCCTAATATTGATAATTCCGGCTTAGATGTGAAGATAATAGCATGGCTATAACCCGGAACCCTGAGGAAGAACATATAGCACTTGTTCCGGCTTCTATGCTAAAGCGTCCACTCACAAGGGGATGAATTCCACGGACCCCACTAAAAAGGAGGTTATAGGGTTTAGGTCTAGGAGTCTAGGGTACAGGGATAAGGCGATGGGTATCGGAATCTCGCCTCGATGTTGCCTGCGCCCTCCGTGAGAATCGTCTTGGCAAGCACTAAGCCGCCAAGCCCAGCACCGATCACCGCGACCTCCCCAGGGGATTAGCGTGGGGTTTAAAGGGTTTAGGGTTTGGGGTTTACGGTTTGGGGGTTTTGTTCCATGGGCTGAGGGGGGGGTCTTGTGTTCGTTGATTGCTGAAGTTCGTCGTTGAATGGTCTGCCGTACAAGTGCGGCGGGGCTTCTCTAGCTAAGCTTCTGTAGAGCTGTTGGGAGGGCTTTCAATCGGGTTCCTAGTGCTTTGCACGTCTTATATAGCCAAGTGTCGTTCTCGACGGGCTACTGGCTTCAAGCCTGGATGTCGGGCTGAAGCTGTAGGCTAACGGGATGCATGCGCCTAAACCCTGCCTTAAACTACCATAGCCCAGTAGTTTCGTAGGATAAACCTTGAATTAATGTGGACTCTATACGGACCCTACAGACAAGTAGCTAAAAACCTAAACCGTGGACCCGACAGCAACAAAATACAGAACACAACTTCCTGTCCCCCGTTGTCCCCGTGCCACAGCGAGAGCAAGGGGACGTAAGAACTCCGGAGCCCGATAGTGCGACAACAATGCTTTGGATGTAGGGTTTAGGGTTTAGGGTTTAGGTTTTAGGATTTAGGGTTTAGGGTTTAGGGTTTAGGGCTTAGATGCTACAAAAATAACAAGGTTTTAACAACCTGCAAACCTAAGCTTACCCCTTCATCCAGGATTCCAAGGTCATGTACAGTACGCTGCTGAGTGAAACGCTGAGGGCATGAAACCCTAAGCCCTGAAATCCTAAACCCTAAGCCCTAAAACCTTAAGCCCTAAACCCAAAGCCCTGAACCTCAAGCCTAGACCCAAAGCCCCCAGCTTCACACTCGCCTTGAGTGGCTTCGCCGGCGAGTCCGACATGCCCTAAAAGAACGGAGCTGGCCAGGAAACTGCGGTTGAGCTGGAAGCCAAAAGGGCCTTTATTTCGAACAGTAGCTTTATTCTTCGATTGTCAAAGGGCTGCATTGAGGGTTCTATGAGGGTTTGGGATTTAGGCTTTACGCTTGACGAGCCCTGCACCCTCTCACCTAAACCCTAAACCCAGGTGCTGAGGGCGTTAGGGTCTCGGGTTTTAGCTACCGCCCAAGTGCTTAGGGCTTTACGTGCTTGGTGGATGTAGAGTTTTCAGTGTTCGATTCAATGGGGCTTGCAAGATGATAGGGTTTGAACTCGGATATAATAACCCTAGGATGGCGACCCGAATCCTCGCCAAAACCCTTAAACCCCAAACCCTTTCTGGGCCGCAGAAAGTGATCTGGTAAAGATACCGCAGACGTTGCCAATATGATTGACGGCCCTTATGAGGATCCTACCCCTTACTGAACACCCATTCTATAAATTGTCAAGCCCAACCTATATAACCCTTGTCAATCCCCATAAGACTTTGTGAAACCCTGATTGAACCCTATGAAAGCTTGTAGGAGCTGAAACCCCGTGGGTAGTTGTCAAAATCGGGGTCCATTTTTTGGATACCCTAAATTATAGGTGCCGTAGTATTTTAAGGACCGAAAAAGGGACCCTAATTTTGACAACCACCCCCATGACACCCTAGGGTTCCGGATCTTCGGTGAAGGCTCGGTTGACGAAGGAGCCGATGGAGGTGCACATGGCTGCGAGGCCAACCAGGGAGTGGAAGGCAGCGACCTGGGTTTAGGGTTAAGGGTATAAGCTTTTAGTGCTTAGTACGTGGAAGGATGTTCAGAGTGGTCTCGAAGGGTTGATAATAGGATGCGTATTATGGGGTTTGAGAAGAGGTTGTAGGACCGTTTTCAAATACTTATATATGGGTGGTTGTCAAAATTAGAGTCCCTTTTGGGGTCCTTAATATAATCCGGCACCTAATATTTGGGGTACCCAAAAAGGGACCCCTTATTTTGACACAACTACCCATATGGGGTGAATACTTAAAGGATCATGCGACCTAGTAAGTAGGTTAAAATTGGGGTCATAAGTCCTCTAGATGGGGTTATCCTACTTATAACCTTACTGACTAAGTCCCTTGAGCCTTCACGTAGGCTGGCGGGCTCCAGGGCTCTACGCTCCTGCGGGCTTTGTAAGGGTTTAGGGATGCGGGTTTAGGGTTTAGGGATTCGGGTTTAGGGTATAGGGTTTAGGGATTAGGGTTTAAGGTTTAGGGTTTAGGGATTAAGGTATAGGGTTTAGGGTGAAAAGAGTGACAAGGGTGCGACCTGAAGTGTCAATGTGCCTCTTTCTGGACTCAGGGTCGTGAAAGTACAACATCCCCAGATTTCTCGGCCAGTCCGGCACCAAAACAGGCTTCGTAAGGCTTCCCTGCCGGGGAAAAAGCCTTTCGGCTTTAGCATCTAGACTTCCAAGACTCGGAGGATCGACTCGCAGGATCGAGTTCCTAAGCACCTCGTCCTAAAAAGCTCATCCCCAAACCAGTATAGTCTAGTCTAGTTGCAGCTATACCGGCTATACCTATCAGTTCCGAGAGGACAGACAGGCAGGAATTTCGGGATTGTGCAAGGAAATTTATGAAAGACCTTAAACCCAACCTCAACTTGGGTGGTTGTCAAAACTGGGGTCCTTTTTTGGGTCCTTATTGTAGTACGGCACCTATTATCTAAGGTACCCAAACAGGGCCCATAATCTTGACAACCACCCACTTGAAGACAGGCTGCGGTCTGGGGAAGGGCGATGGGGGACACCTTCATACCCAGGGTGGTGCCTGCACGAGTTGCTTTAGGGTTTAAGGTCAGGGCCTATTTGGAGTTCAGGGTTTAGAGTTTCGGGTTTGGGGTTCAGGGTCTAGGGTTTAGGGTTGAGGGGGTTCAGGTTTTGAGTTTAGAGTTTAGGGTTTGGGGTTCAAGGTATGTTCAGGGTTTAAGGTTCAGGGCCTCAGAAAGGTCAGAAGCGCTTTTGAAGGCTCCTTTCCTTCTGCTTACTTAGAGGATCATGGGACTGAGTAAGTAGGTGATAATTGGGGTTATAAGTCCCCTAAGTGGGGTTATACTAATTATAACCTACATATAACCTTACTTACTAAGTCCTATGAGCCTTCAAGTAGGGTTTGGGGTTTAGGGCCGTAGGGTTTCCAGAGAAGCTTAAGCGAGGGATCTTGTGAAAGAGTTCTCGAGCTTCGGATTTAATGTCGGGTTCTGCTCACAGCGGTTGCATGAGACTCCTATTAACCCGCTACTCCCTACGAAGATAAGCAAAAACCGATGTTTGAAGATTCCTGCTTTAGAATAAGATGCGAGAGAAGCAACCTTAACCCGTAACCCATGCAGAACGCGTTGGAGATTTCCACGTTAGGACAAAATCGAACTCTCCAAAGCTACCAAGCATGAACAGCGCTGTACCCGAAAAGCCCTGCAAAGCGCATGTGCCAGAGGTTCTCACAAATAAGTTTAGAGTTGAGACCGTATGCTTGTCTAGACCCCAAACCCTATAGAGCTCTAAACCGTAAAAAATGAGGCCCAAAATCTAACCCCATTTCGAGGGGTGGTGGTGATAAGGAACGGTCTTCTAACAAGTTAATCAAACCAGGCACAGTAATCAAAGCCCTTATAGTAAACTCAAACAATGAATCCCTGAAAAACCTAACACCTAAATCCTGAAGCCCTTAAGCCTAAACCTAAAGAGTCGTGGAGCCTGCTGCCGCGCCGATGGCGAGCAGAATGGAGCTGACGACCAGGTTTTCCTACAACATCGTCAATGTCCCGGGCTTCTCGTGCGCGAAGGGTTTACCGTTTGATGCAAGGGCTAATGATAAGGGTTTGGGGTTTAGAGGCGTGGGGTTTTGGGGTTTGCCGTTACTATACTGAACTTAGAACCCTAGCAAAAATTATAATTTTAGCTGTTTCTTAGGGATTATAATAACCAAAAACTACAAAATTATTTCTAAGCACCCCTGAGGTTAATGTACCAGGTTGAGCTTTCAAGGCTTGGGGTTTGGGGTTGGGTTTCCCAGAGACTCCAATATCCCTTAATTAAGGAATATTCCTTAAATTATAATAGGATCCCTAATATAATTTAAGGAATATTCCTTAATTAAGGGATATTGGAGTCTCTGAATTTTCGAGGATTGGCAGTCAGGACATCCTGCGCGACCCCATCAGCAGAGAAAACGTGCACAGCTCCCTGCAGATTCATCAGAGAACAGCGTAACAGGCTGATTTGCCTAAACCCTAAACCCTAAACCCTAAACCGTAGGGCGCGTTCTCACCCTTCGCGGCTAGTTCCGGCTTCCGGGCTTAAGGCAATGGGAGTTTGATACCAAAAACCCCACCCCACCCAAAACCTCAAGCACTAGACCCTAAACCCTAAACCCCAAAACCTTAAGCGCTAGACCCTAAACCCTCAACCCTGAACCCTACGCCCTAAACCCTAAACTCGAAACTTAAGATAGGGGCCTGAGTAGTTAGAATACTGTTTTGGCGCATATTATATTGCACCTGTAATAAGGGACCCCAAAATAGTACAGGTAATTATTAAGGCCCCGATGTTAACTACAGGGTTTTCGGGGGAGTCTTTGGGGACGAGTGTCCTCAGAAAGATCAACCATCGTGGCCACCATGGCACCGAAGACTCCCACAATTCCTGGGCTTTCGGCGGAACTCAGGGCTTGGGGAATTAACCCTTAAAAGGAACCCTTTAAAGGAACCCTTATAAGGAACCCTTAAAAAGAACTCAAGTTTGAAGGCTTAGGGTTTAGCGTTCAGGGGTGTGAGGGCCTTGGGAATTGAACGTTGAGGGGGTTTCAAAGCTTCAGGGTTTCGGGCTTTGTAGATTGCAGGGTTTAAGGATTTAAGCTTGAAGGCCTCAAAGCTTCAAAGCTTCCAGGTAGAGGGTTCGGGGTTTTGTAGGTTTAAGAGCTTAGGGCTTAGCGTTTACGAGGACAAGGATTGGTGAAGGGCAGGCAGATCCCAGGGTTTAAGGGTTCAGGACTAATGTAGGAACCTGATTAAGAAACCTTGGGCCTTTATTAGGGTTCTAAGTATGAATCCTACTATTTCGGTGTGATAAGCCCGCGGGGGTTCTTATTCAGGTTCCTACATTACACATGCTCATCCATCACATCTCTCTCTCTCTCTCTCTCCCTTTCCCTCCGCTTGCATTCATATTGACCCTAAACCCCAAACCCTAAACCCCTAGACCTTGAACCCCTGAAACCCCAAAACCCTAAAGCCTCTAATTTGTTCAGGGTCAACGGTTTCGGGTCTAGGGTTTTGGATACGGTACAGTGATGGAGGCAGCAACGGCTTGCTATGGTGGCATTGTTGAGATAGGCATACTACGCATGCACGATGTCCTCCGCTCCGGTCGGTCTGGTGTTCGGCTCCTTCATGCGCGCCATCTGCGTCTCGAACACCTAAGAGTAGGTATCAATGGCTGAAGCGGCTGAAACTCCACCTCTCTCACGGTCACGGACGCGACCTCGCCATAGATGGCTGCTGTGTCCAAAAGGGAAGGAGACAACACTGCGTCGAAAAACCCTGATGTTTGCGTCGGCACCGAAACATGCGAATCAAAGGCGTGTCAAGATCAGGTAAAACTAGCCTACCATAACTATAACAAAACCTAGATGATAAATGTTATCATCTATACAAAAGGAGAGTTTACGAAAACAATTTAATGCCGAAAGCCTAAACCTAAACCTGATAGCCCACGTCTTGACAGCCTGGAGGCCCAAGAACCCAAACCCTAAAGCCAGAAAAACCCTAAATCCGTAAAGCCGTGCAGCTTTCAGGAACCCTTTTCTTAAGGAACCCCTTTCAAGGAGCCGTTTTGGAGGAACCCCTTACCCTTTTGAAGACCCCTTTTCAGGAACCCCTTTAAGACATCCCCTTTTTGAGGAACCCTTTTCAAGGAACCCCCCCTTTGTTTAAGGAACCCCTTCAAAAGGTCCAAGGCTCCGAACTTGCAGCCCATGTTGGCCGTGGACATCGTGGCGAGGCCACCGATGGCGGCCACGCAGAGAAGAGCAGAGACGGTGGTGACGGTCTCGGGTTTCAAGGTCCCAGAGAGCCCAATACGGATTAGGGTTTAGGCTTTAGGGTTGAGGGTTTTAGGGTTTAGGGTTTAGGGTTTGGGGGTTTAGGGTTTAGGGCTTACGCTTAGGGTTTAGACCCAGAGAGCCCAATACCCCTTAATTAAGGAATACAGGGCTCTTCCTTTAAGGGATCTATAGGCAATACCCCTTAAATTAAGGAATATAGCTTAAATCATAATATGAAGGCCCCCAAATGATTTAAGGTATATTCATGTATATTCCTTAATTAAGGGGTATGTTGGGCTCTCTGGGGTTTCAGGGTGCATATAGAGGCCCCTGAAGGGTTGCAGGGCGATGCTTTACTTTAATGTGCTTTCTAGAGACTCAGAGAAAAGGAGGGACCCGTAATGGGGACCCCTACCCTATAATGGGCTATATAATGGGTATATACCTAGGGGTCCTTTTTAAGGGTGCCTCCTTGGATCCTTGGCCCTCAAGGCCCTAAACCCCAGAACCCTGAACCCTACACCCTAGAAACACCAACCTATGAGTTCTGATCCTTTTCCCTCAACCCTAAACCACAGAAACCAGCCTATGAGTTCTGAATATGGGGGGTTTCAGGTCGTGAGGGTTTTTGCTTTTGTGCCCAGGCTCTGGCCCCGAGGCAAGTTCTGCCTTAAGGGTTTAGGGTTTGGGGGTAGTAGGGTTTAGACTTTGGGGTAGTAGGATTTAGGCTTTGGGGTAGTAGGGTGTAGGGCTTTAGGGTTTAGGGTTTGGGGAGTGTTCAGGGTTGTTTTGACGGTTTAGGGTTGAGGTTTTCAATTTTTTGGGGGCTTGTAGGGTGTAGGGCTTGGGGAGTCCAATACCCCTCAAGTACGGCTTCTTCCTGAAGCTACACACCTAGAAGCTCCATATATAGTACCACCATGGATATGGATTATGGAATTGGGCCTTTGAAACCATAATAGGAATGGTCTTTGGGACATAATTCCATAATGGTACTATCTATGGAGCCTCTGGGACAGGGACCCTTAGTGAGATCCTGCTCCTGGAACTGCTCCACAAGATCTCCATCTGAATTTGCATTGGGGCCCGTGTTCAGTGTTCTTCAAAGGGATCCAGAAGGGCTTCTAGGGGCTATACTTGGAGGGTCGGGGGACTTAGTAAGTAGTTAGTAAGTAGACTTATAAATACCCTAAAAGGGACCCTAATTGGGGTTATTTTACTTATAAGTCCCTAAAATGACCAGTTACTAAGTCCCCCGACCCTCCAAGTAAAGAGTCCTATAAGGGTATATCAACACTGCAGGTTCTGGCTCAGGGTTTTTTAAAGCTTCGGGTTTCGACTGTTGGGGTTTGCCTGGTCCCTTAGAGCCAGGGCGTGTATGGTTATGGTTCATGTACAGAAAAAAGGCTAGATTTTTGCAGATCCAGACCGGCGTAAGAAGCAAATTCAGGAAACGTCCTCCCTCAAGAAACCCTAAACCCTAAACCTCCTCCCTCAAGCCCTGAACCCTCAACCCTAAACCTCCTCCCTCAAGCCCTGAACCCTAAACCCTGGACCGTCCCTAAACCCCCTGAATAGTCACTGGGGCCTTCAGCAGCTCTGGGCGGGTCAAGGCAACCAGGAGGAAGACAACGCCAGGGAAGAGCATCATTCCTGGCAGCATCTGGGAGGTGTTCGGCTTTAGGTTCAGGGTTTAGGGTCTAGGGTTTAGGGTTTAGGGTTTAGGGATGTTTAGGGTTTAGGGTTCAGGGTTTAGGGTTGGAGTGCGCTGATTTTTGGGGCTGGGGAGTCAGTTTGGGCTCTCGGGTTTGGCCGCAGGCTTCAACCTCAGAGAGCCTTTGTAGAATGCTTCCCCCTACACAACCCCGAAGCCCCCAGCACTAAACAAAAAGGTAAACCCTAATCCCCAAACCCTAAACCTTGTGAACAACCCTAAACACACAGCGGTCCTGAGAAATCCTTGTCACCCGGCTTCTTGAACAAGTCCAGCATGCGCTGGGACACGACGAAGCCGCCGAAGATGTTGACCTCGGCGGCACACGTTCGGACTGAGCTGCTAACGGGTTTCAGATTACGGCTGACGGAACTTTTCGAGGAACCCTTATAGGAACCCTCCAAGGAAGCTTTAAAGGAACCCTCGGTGTAGTCCTCAATCCCCTACTAACGATCCCTCAATCCCTAAAACCCAAAATCCTAAATCCTGCACTCAGATCCCTAGACCCTGAATCCCTAAATCTCTCAACCCTACACCACCAAATCCCTCAACCCCTAAACCCACCCTTATAGCACCCTTATAGTACCCTTATAGCACCCTTATAGTACCCTTATAGTACCCTTATAGTACCCTTATAGCACCCTTATAGTACCCTTATAGTTAGTACCCTCGGCCGTGTATGTCTGCCGCCCAGGCGCTGCAGAGACGAGCACAGCAAGCGCCGCCAGGAACCAAGCGAATCCGGACTCGGTCTTCTCCAACAACAAGAGCCCGCCGATGGCCTCAAGTGGGAGTTATTGGGGGGGGTCCTTATCATAAGGATCCTACTATTTAGGGTACTATATTAGGGTCCCCTATCTTCTCCAACAACAAGAGCCCTCCGATGGCCTCAGGTGGGAGTTTCCGAAAACGAGGGGTACCTTATTGGGGGGCCCTTATAATAAGGACCCTACTATTATGATGAGAATAGGGTTTTGGGGTATCTTATACTATAGTGTAAGAAGGAGCCCTCCGATGGCCTCAAGCACGGGTTTAGGGTGTTGGCGTCTCAGCATCTGGGGTTAAGGGTTTAGGGTTTAGGGGTAACAACACCTCTATAGAATTGACTATAACCCCATTAAAGGTACTTATAACTGTACTTACTAAGTTCTGAACCTCCAAGCAATGTACGAACCTGACTAAGAAACTTTGGATCTTTTGTTAGCGCTCTTTACGGGCTCTTGATCCTCATATTTTGGGGTTATAGGACCAAGGTTTCTTAGTCAGGTTCCTACACTACGGCTGATGATATAAATCCTGCATTGCCTCAATGACCCTAAACTATGGGAATTACGGAATATTCCTTGTTATATATGGGTAATGCAGGATTTATATCATCAACCGTAGCCCAGAATCTTGGGAGGACGAAAGCAGAACCCCGAATTTGGGAACTTGACAGTGCTATGCAGGGTACTCATCTACTTTTAAACATCCTCTTACTTGGAAGGGCAGGGGACTTTATAAGTAGGTTACAAGTAGGGTTATAATTGGGGTAACTCCATTTAGGGTACTTATAACTCTACTTATAACCTACCTACTAAGTCCCCTGCCCTTCCAAGTAGGGGTCCAGGATGCCATGCACCCAGAAATCCCTAAACCCCTAACCGCCTAAACCCTAAACTCTAAACCCCCGACCGCTAAACCCAAAAGCTCCAAAATCTGAATCAATAAACTTACACCCTAAAGTAAGCCCGAAATCGTCGGAGGCGCCGTGCACCCGGAAATCGCGTTCGTCACCGACATCAGCGGAGTGTGGAGCGCATGCGCGACACCCCAGACTGCCTGATAACCTGAGCAGGGGTTTCGAGTTTGGCAGTTCAGGGATTCAGGCTTTGGGGGTTTAGGGGTTCAGGGTTTAAAGGTTTAGGGTCTAGGGGCTTAGGGGTTTGGAGGACCAAACCAAACAAACCGAAGCCTTAAACGTAGAAACCAAAGCCTCGCACGTAGAAACCCGTAGTCCCGATGAGAACTGTAGCACCTGCAAGCCCTTTGAGCCCAAGCAGTCCCAGACGACCTGTAAAAGCTTTTATCCCCATAAACACACAGGGTTTAGGGTTTAGGACATTCGAAGATCCTGAAGCATCTTCAACCTCTTTCAAGCTCTAAACCCTAAACCCCGCCAGGGCACCTGCAGCCCCAGCAAGCAGGAAAGTGGTCAGCAACGAGGTCTTCACGCCTCTGCCCCATGCAGTCTTTGTTCTATGAGATTCTGAATCGTACTACGGTCGAGCTGCTTGCAAGCAGCTTACACATTAAACTCTGGGCTGGTTTAGATCTCAGGGCTTGGAGTTTATACGCAGTGATGTAGATTGCCAGCCACTCTCTGCGAAGCAGTGCACAAGCCAATGGCTTTTCCGTGTTGGTTCATGGGTAGTTACAAGTAGGGTGATAAGTCGGGTAACGATACTCATAATCTATATTCGGGTACTTGCGGTTGATGATATACATACTGCATTACCATAACAAGGAATGTACCATAATTCCCATAATCTAGCATCCTTAAGGTAATGCAGGACTCATGTCGTCAACCGTGTAGGTCCACTGATAACTACCCATGAACCTCCAAGGACGGGATCTCCCTTGGGTACGGCCCCCACTCAGTAATACCTGAATAATATTCATAGTATAGATATATTAGGACCTTAATACTGTTGATGGACAAACCTGCATGACCCGAAGAACTCTAAACTATGGGAACTATGGTATACTCCTTATAATGGGTAATGCAGGATTTTGTCCATCAACAGTAGTAGCCCTATTATAGACTCTTACTGTATGGGGGCCGTACCTAAGATCTCCCTGTCATGGGCTCCAGGGTCAAGTCCAGCATGCACCGGCTCCAAGACCCCCCCAACAACATGCCCAGACAGCCCAAAATACCCCTTAATGAAGGAATATACCTTAAATTATTTGGGGTCTTCATATGGTGATTTAAGCGATATTCCCTAATTAAGGGGTTTTGGGCTCTCTGGTTGCCTCAACAGTAGAGCCTAAACCCAGACCCTTGAGCAAAACACCTCTTTAGCCGTGGAACCCTGAACCTCAAGGCCTCCACCCTACACCCTGAGCCCTACTGTAACGGTTTAGGGTTTAGGGTTTAGGGTTTAGGGTTTAGGGTTTAGGGTTTAGGGCCTACACCCTAAATTTCTAGACCCAAGAGTAACCTAGGAATAAAAAGGGTGCCCTTTTTGGTTTAAAGGGACTTATAAGGGAACCTGAACCCTAAAAAAGGGAATAAGGGCTTACTCTGGGTCCTAAATTTCGAACCTTCGCCCTAAACCCTACAAACCCACCAATCCCTAATACCTCGCCCTGAAGCCCGAAAGCTACGAAGGGGCGCCTTCGCCCATGGCGAGCATGCAGCCGACGCCGATCGTCAGGACCACGGCCCCAATCAGGGCAGCCTACCGAGAGCATTTTATGAGGTGCCATAAATCGCACGTACTTTATGAGAGTATTATATACATACTTATATATATACACATATATATATATATATATATGTATGTATATATTATATCAATCCTTTTGCGATGGTTTTTAATGATATTCACAAGGGCATTATATGGCTCAGGTTTGGCCGCTTCAGGGTCCAGGATCGCTTAAGGCCGAGGGTAGAGGGCTCAGGGTTTAGCATTTACGGTTTTGGGTTTAGGGCTCCGGTTTAGGGTTTAGGGGAAGGGTTTGGGAGCTTGGATAGACTCAGCATCTAACAAAATTAGCACACGCCACGTTACAAGCTTCTTCAACCACAAACCACCCATACGAAATCCCAAACTCCTGAACACGACATATTCAACGTGTCATCCATTGAACTATTCCGACACCCGGTAAATGAGAAAAGATGCCTTAAACTACAGAGAGATCCTTAGGGTGACTTAAGGTAGCGTGCTATAGGGGCCTTAATCATTAGTGTAGGGTCTTGGGGCCCATTCTACTATACTTATAATAAGGAACCCCAAAGATAGTATTGGTAATTAAGGTCCCGATATTACTGACACTGATTGTCGGGGGTTCGGAGTCTGCTCGGTTCCCCCTAAACCCTACTTGGAGGTTCATGGGTAGTTTTAAGCAGGGTTATAAGGGTTTAGGGTTCATTTAAAGGGATGTATAGAGTTTAGGGATTAGGGTTTAGGGTAGTTACAAGTAGGGTTATATAAGTAGGGTAGCTATAACTATAACCTATACTAGAGGACTTATAACTCCACTTATAGCGACCCATGAACCTCCAAATAGCCCCTAAACTTCCCTAAACCCTATACCCTTATAGAATCCCTATAGATCCCTTGAAGGGGACCCTTAAAGGAACCCTTATAACTACCCGGAATAAGGTGGCCTTCATCGGCTCCTCCTTGGCTGCCGCCTTCTTGTCGGCGGTCGGCGCTGCGGCTTTCGGCTTCACCGGCGTGGGCTGAGGGGGCGGCGGCATCTTCACCTGGGAGCACAGCAGGGGAAGAGTCCTTCAGAGCAGTTGGGATGTAGTATATATTTATCCTAAACCCCTAAACCCCTAAACCCCTGAACCCTAAAAGCACTAAAAGCTTTAAAAGCCCTTAAAGCCCTTAATGCCCTTAAAGCCCTAAGCCCCCAAAGTTGGGCCCACGAAGCCCTAAACCATAAACATCGTCCCTTTGGCACCTCTATAGCTCCTCCCTGTTATTGGAAGGGCTGGGTCGAAAGCTTCCCCTAAACCCCCCAAAGGACCCGAAACCTCTGAACCGGCCCTAAGCCCTTCGCCCCGAAACCCCCAAAAGGCTCCACACCGTCAAACCCCTAAGCCCTACTTGAAGGCTCATGGGACTTAGTAAGTAAGGTTATATGTAGAGTTATAAGTACCCTAAAAGGGACCCTATTTGGGGTTATGATACTTATAAGTCCCTAAAATAACCAGTTACTAAGTCCCCCGACCCTCCAAGTAATTCTGAATCTGGGATGCACCTTTGTAAGAAAGGCCTTCGCCCCTAAAGCATGCCAAGAATGACCCCAAGATAGTAACACGTATAGTCCTTATAACCAAAAGCCTTTATAGTAAACTCTTCTAGTCTCCTGCAGTCACATCCATACTGAAAGGCTGGGATCTAGTACTTGGGCACTCCCACCTTACTAAATCCATTGAGCCCTAAACCCTAAACCCTAAACCCCTAAACCCTGAACCCTAAACCCTAAACCCTAAACCCTAAACCCTTACTAAATCCATTGAGCGCTGGTGTATTGAGCCGCCGGCCAGCTGGCCGTCCCTACTGCAGACGATGCTTCGGGCGACGATGTCTCCCTCCTCGCCTGCTTTGACGGGGGGACTTGCTTGAAGGCTCATGGGACTTAGTAAGTAAGGTTATAAGTAGGTTATAATTAGGATAACCCCACTTAGGGGACTTATAACCCCCATTACAACCTACTTACTAAGTCCCATGATCCTCCCATGATCCTCTAAATACTCCCTAAACCCTAAACCCCATAGATCCCTTTAAGGAACCCTATAGATCCCTTTAAGGAGCCCTTTAAGAACCCCTACTAAGGCCCCTGCCCTTCCAAGTAGTAAGTCGGATAAAGGGCTGTTTCTGACGGGGGTCCTTTAAAGAAACCCTCAGAGGAACCCTTAGGGGATTTAAAGGGGTTCAGGGTTTAGGGCTTTAGAGGTTTGGGGTTTAGGGTTTAGCGTTTAGGGTTTAGGGTTGATGATGTAAAGGGGTTCCTTTCAGGGGATCTATAAGGGTACCTCCAAGGGGCTACTTTCAGGGATCTATAGGGTTTAGGGTTGCAGGGAATATGTGGGTGGTTGTCAAAATTGTGGTCCCTTTCTGGGTACCCTAACTATTAGGTGCCGTACTATGCTTAGGACCCAAAGCGGGACCCTAGTTCTGACAACCACCCATGTAGAGTTTAGGGTTGGTGATATAAAGGGATTCCTTTCAGGGGATCTATAGGGGTACCTTTAAGGCTTTCCTGTAAGGGATCTATAGGGTTTAGGGTTTAGGGCTTAGGGTTGTAGGGAGTATGTAGAGTTACAAGGGCCCTGGAGGGCTTCCTAGTTGCTTGGAGAGTCGGGGGACTTCGTAAGTAGCTAGTTTAGAGAGTTATAAGTATCATAACCCCAAGTAGGATCCCTTTGGGGGTACTTACACTTCTTAAGTAGTTAGTTTATAGAGTTATAAGTATCATTACCCCAATTAGGATCCCTTTAAGTTTAGAGCACTTATAACTCTACTTACTACCTACTACGTCCCCCCGACCCTCCAAGTGGGGTCATGAGACTTACAACTCTACAGAGCAACTACTTGCCAAGTCCCCAGACGCTCCCCGCCGGGTCTTGAAAGGGAGTTTCTAGGAGCGTTTTGAATTTAGGGCTTTTGGGGTTTAGGCATTGGAGTTGGGTTTAAAGGGCTTGTAGAGTTTATACTTGGTTCAGGGCTTTGGGCTGTTTAAGGAGTACGTCCCGCAACACACATAATTCACACACTAAGGGCTCTAGAGTAGTGCTGACAAACACTCGTGATCCCCATCTGATTATACCACAATGGACACATAAATCCTGTCTAATCAAGTCGTGATGCCCCTCTAGTAACCGAAGTCCTGAAACCCTAAACCGCAAACCCTAAGCACTGTAAACCTTAAATCCTGTTAAAGCCGAACCCTAAACCCCAAAACCTAAAACCCTTTAAACCCATAACCCTGACAGCTCTAACCCCAAAACCCTAAACTCCAAAACCCCGAACCCTAAACTGTAGTTGAAGTAGTAGTAGTAGTAGTAGTAGTAGTAGTAGTAATAATAAAAATAATAATGCCCTAAACCCTCGGCCTGCATCCAGAGCCCCAAGCAGGTTCTTCATGAACGCTGCGGCCTTTTCCTTGCCGTGGATGTGGCGCAGCAGGTTGCCTTCTTGGGTCTCTCTCATGTATTGCGGGAGGGGGGACGGTTTAGGGGGCTTAGCGGTTTAGGGGTTTAGGGGTTTAGGGTTCAGGGTTTAGGGTTTGGGGGCGGGGGGGGAGGGGCTTGCTTTAGTCCCTGTAGGGTCTGAGGTTTTCGGTTTGGGATTGAGGGTTGAGCGTTTAGGGTTTAGGGTTTGGGGTTAAGGTTTAGGGTGTAGGGTTTACTTGGAAGGGCAGGGGACTTAGTAAGTAGGTTATAAGTAGAGTTATAAGTACCCTAAATGGAGTTACCCCAATTATAACCCTACTTATAACCTACTTACTAAGTCCCCTGCCCCTCCAAGTAGGGTTTGATTCAAAGTCAGTCAGAATGCTCCAGGAGTCTCATAGGAGGGCGCTGGTTGCTTGGGGGTTGCGGCGTGTTTCGGCCTTACTTGGAGGTTCATGGGTAGCTACAGGTGGAGTTATAAGTCCCCTAATATGGGTATACGGTATAAGTATAGCTACCCTACTTATAACCCCACTTATGACTACCCATGGACCTCCAAGTAGGGTCCATAGAACGGGCGCAGGCGCGCGAAAAGGGTTGAAGTTCAGAGTTCAGACCTAAACCCGAACCCCACGGTTTAGGGTTTAGGGTTTAGGGTTTAGGGTTTAGGGTTTAGGGTTTAGGGTTTAGGGTTTAGGGTCACGATTTCATCTGAGAGTACTCTGGAATCCAAGGAGAACGATCAAGTCTTAGTTTGGGTACTGCCCCCATACAGTGACACTCTATAATAATGAAGAGCTTCATGCATCTATCTATTCAGCCGTTTCTGAGTGGGGGGCAGTATCCAACACTTAGTCAGGATCAGTGGAACCAGAAATATTCACGTTTCAAGCATTCTCAAACTTGAGTGGCTGCTGATCTCGAGTGCACTGGAACAATAGGTGGTGACCGTAATACTTATTCTGCTTTTGATGTCGAACAGTCTGGTCTTCTGCCAGTGCTTGCACTGGCTCGTGAGGTTAGCAACATGCCGAATCTGAATAGGATCATGATTGCCGTTGCTATTACTACTGCGACCTCTACCGCCGTTGATAGTATGGTTGTCACCAGCGTAATCACGCTTTCCTTATGAGCTCTCCAACAAGAGCAACCCCAAATTTAACAGCGAATAGCAGCATTTAGTAGCAAATAAGGACCCGCGTTTAAAGGAAACTAGCAGCGTTCTTACGGTTTTCCCGAAAGACATCGGCAGCATGCATGCAGCCAAGCAACACATGTTCTGCGCATACCTTTCACTCGAGATTTGTGCTGAGAAGGCACGGTATGAGGATGCAATATTCTTCCGATGGCGCTCGCATACACTATTCCTACTGCTGGTATAACCGCTTCGATTTCTGACTGCCACATCACAACCACAGGTTAAGAGGGTTCGTAGTTCAACCACACCCACACACACACACAACCTGAACACGCGAGCCTTCCCAAGCTTTTGACAATGCTGGTGGCTCAATCGCCCGAAGTGGAAAACTCAGGCATCAGATACTATAGGGGCCGTAATAAACTAGAATAGGGTTTTGCGTCCCATTATACTGTAATTGTAATAAGGGACCCCCAAAATAGTATGGGTAATTATTGAGGCCCCTATAGTAACCTTATAGTACCCTTATAGTATCCTTATAGTACCCATATAGTATCCTTATATAAAGTACCCTAAACCCGAACCTATAGGAAGCTCCTAAATTAACGAATCTGAATACAAAGCCTCCGGAGCGAACCCCCTAAACTCGAGAGCCCGAAACCCGACTCCCTGGAAAAACCTAATCCCCTGACCCTTAAACCCTGAACCCCTGGTTTAGGGGTTTAGGGTTTAGGGGTTTAGGGTTTAGGGCCCTGAACCCCTCAATCCCTAAACCCCTAAACCTCCCCGCCAGAAATCCAGGAAAGTTCGCGCTTCAATCTCACGTCATGGCAACCGAGGATCATGGTGCTGGCCTGGTTGGACATGCCTCCGCATGAAAGGTGCAGGGCGAAGTTTGGGACTTCGAGATGGTTTAGGGTTCAAGCTATATAGGGTTTTGGGTTTTAGGATTTTTAGGGTTTAGGGTTCAGGCTTTATAGGTTTTGGGGTTTTAGAGTTTTGGGGTTTCAAGAGTTAAGGATTTAGGGCCGCAACCCCACTAGACGAACAGCAAAGCCCAAAACCCTCAGCTGCTAAATCCTAAATCCCAAATCCTACGTTATAAGGCTTAAACCCTAGACCTAAACCCCAAGTACCCAAAACCCGAAACCCCAAGTGCCTTAAATCCTATATCCATAGAACCCGAACCCTGAAACAGAGAGCCCAATACCCCTTAATTAAGGAATATACCTTAAATCATTAGGGGCTTCATATGATGATCTAAGCTATATTCCCCAACTAAGACCCCCTAAACCCTAAAGGCCCTATAGATCCCTTAAAGGAACCCTATAGGCCCCACGTATTCCTTAAGTTTGGGGTATGGGGCTCTCTGGGGAGTCTCCCACGTTTGGACCCAAACACGCGGGCTTCTGACATGCCGAAAGCTCGCCGGCGAGGTCGGGTAAGGGTTTAGGGTTTACGGGTTAGGGGTTAGGGTTTAGGGTTTAGGAGTTAGAGTTTAGGGTTTAGGGGTTAGGGGATTAGGGGTTAGGGTTTAGGGTTTGGGGGTTAGGGGCTAGGGATTTAGGGGTTTAGGGTAGGTCACTATAGATAGACTTTCCGTCTAAAGGGAAACCGAACATGATTTTGGACGAAAGATGGCAGCAATTGTTGTAGCAAAGGCAGGGTTTTAGGGGTTTCGGATGATCCAGGGGTTGGCTTTAGAGGTCGAGAGTCTAGACGATCGCAAGGAATGGGGGGGAAGGGTCTCTGGGTTCAAGCCCAGGCACGCGCCGGCATGTCAGAGTATCCGATGATGGTCACACCATTGGCGGTGGTGTAGACCTGTCGCAGAGACACCCCGTAATCTCGATCAAACTCCGAACAGCCCGCGTGGAAATACATCCTTCCCGAATTTCTGTGACTTCCAGGATTCAAAGAAAGATATAGAAATACAAACAACGAAAAAAATGTGCGTGTATATATATATATATATAAACCCTAAACCCTAATCCCATAAGACGCCCGCGCCACGTGCTCTTTCTTCATTTTAATGTCTGACCTGAGGTGCGCCTGTAAGCTGCGCTTTTCCTCATGAACCGCATGCGAATTGGCCGCGCACGTTTGTCTGGAGTGTCCGCCAAAATCCCATAAGACGTATATATGTATATATGTGGAACCACTGAAGTTTCCCAGGCTACCAGCTTGACACGGCTAGTTACCGGTAAGTCAACCCTTGTGACCTTTTTCCACGGGGGACTTGGGCCAAGTGCAATCGCGTACAGACATAGCTAAGGACCATGGGAATAGCAATGGAGGCAGGGTAAAATCTACACCCCCCTCGCCGTGCTGCTCGAGCGAAGGCGGATAGCACATGGCTCCAGGTTGCCCTGGGCTTCAACGATTTTGAAGACTTGCCAAAGCGAGCATTTATAAAGCACAACGGGGAAGCCCTGCAGGTCCGAAGCAAATCAAAATGAGGACTCAGCGCCTATGGGTGCGGTTCCATGCATCCCACTCGGCCTGAGTGTAACCTCCACGACGCTGGCGATAGTACTCGTCCCACTGGGCCTGAGTATAGCCTCTGTACATTGGCTCAGGTGCTGTCGTGCGACCGCGTCCCTTTTGGGATGGGCGATTCTGGACTGCAGCCTGGCGATTGCGCTCTGCCAAACGTTCCGTTTGGTCTGTCTGGTTCTGAGCACTACGGAGGCTATCGGTAAGAATCTGTCCGATCTCAGTTGTGATGCCTTCAGTTGTGGTAGCCGACACATAGACCTCGCCGTCGAAAGTCAGGATCCTTTTCGCAGCGTCATTCACTGCTGCCACCTCAGCATAGAGTCGCGGAGGGAGGAATGCACCGAGGTAGGTCAAGCCGATGGGGACATCCGCGGTATCATCGATAAACCGCAAGTTCCTCAACGGCTCCACTTCGCAGTGGGCATAATAGACCAACTTCGCAGGCGGGACATTGCCACCACCATAATGGGAGCCGGCACGCAAGTAGCGCTGCTCCTCGCTGCGTCCTGGATCGGGAAGCACAGCGTTCGACAGGTGATCGAATTTCTGCATGTCCTCGAAGTTGCGGCCCTCTTGCATCATCCTCACGTTGAACTGCGCATCCTTCTCGAAGCGGTCTGACACGGTGTCAAAGTTCAACTTGGCGGCCCTGATCTTTCGGTCTTTGGCGTCACGAATGGCAGCAGCCTCTGCGCTCATCTGACCACGCTTCTTTGGTCCCTCGCCCAGGCCTCGAAGGTCACTCGCAAGGAGATCGTCGATGGGCTTCTGGGCTCCGGTTGCAGCGGTGGCAAGAAGGCGCTGGCGAAGTCTCGAATTCTCAAAGACTCGCTTCGTGATCTTTTTGGAGTCGTCCGTCTGGGGAGCCTTGCAACGGAGGCAGAACAGCATGCCATTGGCAACGACTGCTGCGCACTCACGGCATGGGTGTGAGCCAAGTGGGTATGGCTCATCCTCACCCGCATCCGTCGTATCGCCTTCATCGACCTCGACCTCAACCTCAACCTTGGTTTCGTCAGGGTCGAATGCACCAGCATCATCAGCAGGCTCACCCTCGCGGGTGGCTTCATCCAAGTCCATGCTTTCGTCTTTTTCGGCGATTGCGGCGGGCTTGGGAGCCACCTTCGGCATCTTCTTTGAAGCAATCGCTTTGGGAGCGATAGCCGCCTGTTTTGGAGGCGGTGCCGATGATGAGCTTGCTGCTGCGGCCTCCTCATAGTCGCGCTTGGCGCGGAAGATGCGCTCTGGCTCACCCTCGCGGGCGGCTTCTTTGTGCTCGGCGACATAGAGCGGGAGGTTCTTCTTGCTGGTGTCGACGGCGGACAGCACACAATCGGGCGGCACATTGTCACGTGTGAGGACGCCGTCGGTCTCCGTGACGAAGAAGACACATCCAGCGGCGATTGCTCGCTGCGTATCTATCGTCAGCTCGATCGGCTGGTTGGAGCGCATTCCACTCTTGTAGTGGGTGTCGTCCAACTTGTACGGGGACAGGTAGTTGTGGGACCTGTCTGACCTTGCGGAACCGGCGATCATGCCATCGCGGAGGATCCCCTTCATCCCCTTTTCATTCGTGCGGTGGAAGAGTTTCGGGGGGGTATCCTCGCGGGAGAGTACGGTGACCCCCCCGCTGTAGAACCTGGTCGCGAGGAAGAAGTCCGCGTCCGGGTTATTGCCGATGAGCTTGGAGTTGTGCCCTTGGGCCATCCTCACCCGCACAGGGAATAGCGGCTGGCCCAGGGTGTCCTTCATGGGGACATCAATGCCCAAAAGCCTGATCCGTCCCTTGTTATCGGCTTTCGCTGCGCGTAGCAGCTGCCTCACGCCCCAGCGTGCATTCCGTGCCGTGTTGAAGACCTGGAGCAGAGTATCAACGTCTGTCCAGCACCCACGGTCAAAGATCAATGCACCTGGAGGCTCGTGCGCGCTAAAAATTTGTACGCGGAGACCTTGATGGGCTCAAGACGTCCTGTTGGGCGCGAACATAGGCCATGTACCAATTTTTTGTGCGCGGGGGCCCGGCATTGGGAGCCGCAGGTGGCCGGGGCGGGGACGGACGGGCCCCGGCAAGGGTAGATCAAGATTTCTTATGCCAAGTGCCAAATATCAGAAAGTGCAAGGTGGGCTGCTCAATGTTTGGCTCAGCAACGCACGTTTGCCAGCTAGTTTTCCGGACATGCCTGGCGAATTGGTAGCATTTGGCAGTTCTGTACATTAGATTTGGCTCAAGCGATCTCCGTGTTCGATCGAAAAAACTTCGGCTCAAAGAAAATTCCTGCGTCGTGCGTAAGAAAAACCTTAATTGCCCCACGTACGTTCGTAGATGCACACACACATATATGTGAAGGCACACATATCTCACCCTAAACCTTGCCCTAAACCCGCATCCGGCTCAAATTTCACCACGTGATTGGGAAAAACCTTTAATATTTCTATATATATATATGATAGTATATTATATCACATTATATTGTATTATATTATATACTATATTATACTATATTATATTATATTATATTATATATATTCATAAACCGACACTCACTCCATATATTCCAATGCTTTCGATTCCTTTATTCCTTTCGATCCTTCCAACTCTTCCATTCTGCTCCAGTCAACCAATTGAGTCAGTTGCTCCATGTGAGCGATTGGACAGTTGTGTGTGAAAGTGTCTTGCAGGGATGCAGTGAATGACAGTCGATTGCAACAGTGATGCATGCACATGGGACATTCCGGATCAATGTTGATTGGATAGTTGTGTGTGAAAGTGTCTTAGGACGCAGTTGCATGCAAGGACATTCCGAACGAATGTCGATTGGACAGTTGTGTGTGAAAGTGTCTTGCAGGGATGCAGTAAATGACAGTCGATTGCAACAGTGATGCATGGGACATTCCGGATCAATGTTGATTGGACAGTTGTGTGTGAAAGTGTCTTAGGACGCAGTTGCATGCAAGGACATTCCGAACGAATGTCGATTGGACAGTTGTGTGTGAAAGTTGTGTTGCGCAGAGTGCCGGCAGCCGCAGGCATGAAGCTCCGTTCCAAGTCATGTTGCAACGGCAAGCTGTAATGCATGATCGAGAATGCAGGCAGACTCGCAGTGCTTTGCAGAATCAGCCTTATAGAAAGGTTTTAGCGATGGAGGGCCAAGGCGGTGCACTCGTGTGCAAGAGATTCTGCCGTGGCTTGGCGGCCAGTGTTTTCGTTATGTGCAATCTGGAGCTGGAGGATGTGCGAGCCCTTGCTCGGAAGGGCTTGCTCGATTTGGCACAGTGCATTGTGCACATGCAGGAGCTGACCGTATGGCAGGAGGTTGCGGAGTTCTTGTCTTTTTGGGCTGGGGTCTTGTCAGTGGCAGTGCCGGCTTTCTCGAACATAGATGATTCGGGTAACTTTGCATGGCCTGCTAACTTTCCTCCGGTGGGCAAGTTTTTCGTGGCACCTCATGAGAATCTTCCGGTCCCAAAACTATTGGAGAAGTTCACGATCGAAGAAGAGGGAGACATGTTCAAGCGCTTTGTTGCTTCCATCGACTTGGTGCAGCGGCTTCTTCCTCACGTCCCCGAGGAGCTGAGCGACTAGACCCATATAAAGTGGATGCACGCATCTGTGTGTGTGTGTGTGTCTGTCTGTCTGTCTGTCTGTCGCATGCTTGCATATATTTTTCTTCTTCAATCCCAGCAGCTAAACACTGCAGGCTTTCGTGTGGAGAGGCTTGCCGTGCACATGACGGATATTCTTTCTGTGATTCATATGCATATTCAGATGCGGAGCCTGCAACTTCTTTCGTGGCTTGCCGATATTATAGCAATCATGGGCTCACATGTGTTTCAAACATCGACTGAATCCTGCACTCAGGCCGGCGGAGAGAGACAAGCTCACGGATGTGATGGCCAATTTTATGGACGAGCATACGAAACTTGCTTGAAACTGCTTTATTCATGTTGCCGCTTTTTGTGCTATCCATCCACACATCTGTGGGTGTACTGGCTGGCTGCTATGTACTTAGGAAGTGATTGGTTCATGGATGTGTGCTCGGAGCTGCGTGCCGTGCCTTGGCGACTTTGGTTGTCCGGCTGAGTCTTTGCATGTCGTGCATTCACAAGCAGAGCTTTGCTCTAGCGAGGTTGGGTATATCCGTTGGCCATGCTGCTCTTGAAATCCTTTGGCTACGCTGCTACTTGGCAACTCTATTGAACTGGCTGCTTGCATGACATTTATATCCTAGGTTCGCCTCCTGGGCAATTTTGGCTACCGACGATATGGTTTCCTTATTGGGCAATTTTGGCTACCGGCGATATGGATTATATTTGCTTTCGGGCGCAGACCGGCCTCTGTATCTTTGCTGAAAACCGCACTGTATGCGCGAGGCTTCCGAAAGTGCATGTGTGTCGTGCATGGGCAGACAAAATCTAAGGAAGGCAGCAGCATCTACGACAAGAAATTGGGTTTAGACCGGTGCAGCTTTTGATGGCATGTGCAGTGTGTGTGTGTGTGTGTGTGTGGCATGTGCAGTGCATCCAAACGCTCCTTGGTATACTGCGTCCTAGAGGGGCAGTGAGTTCAAGCTTTGCTGCTACAACCATGTCCATCCAATCAGTGCAATTTGTACATGCGCGATGAAGCCTCTGCGGGAGCATGTGGTGCTAAGCTTTAAATTACATAACCCGACGTGCGACCTCGACGAGCCATGCCCCCCGTGAAATGCGTCGATGACGATGCTATAAAGCTGATGCTAGATGCCCTCCAGAGCTTCAAGACTAAGAAGGATCGGGAATCAGTCATCAAGTGTTGTGTTTGTGATGTTGTACTGGTGTCATTGCCGATTTGTTTTCCGCTGCAGGACCTGGTGGCCTTCAAGGAGAGTACGGCAGAGGACGAGCTGGAGGACACCGTGCAGGAGGAGGACCTCGAATCGAACAAGGAGCTTCTGCTTAAGTCACTTGGCCGCATCTACACAGAACCTGGCTCAATTCACGGTCCATAATACATGTATGTCTCATGAACCAGGTGCCTCCCCGTCTTCGAGCAGACCGGCCATGTGTGGAATTTGCCGAGCTTGCAGAAGTGCTTCGCAAAGCTGTACGATGAGTCTCGGCTATATCGTTCGCTTGTGCTGATCCCGTACGTCATGCACAACCATTCGATGGGCAAACTCAGGATGAGGATAATGGAACTTCGAAAAAGTATGCCATTGCTGCTTTGGCGGTCCGCGGGATGGCAACTTGGCAAGAACAGATCGACAAGGAGTTGAACATGTGCACGCATGCATGCGTGCATGCATGCATGCAGGGATGTGTTAGTTTGCTCCTCGCTCGGTTAGGCCCAGCACGTGGTCAGACAAGCGAAGCGGACCATGGAGAGCCCGAACAAGACGTTTAAACTGCTGAAGCAATGCTGTGGGCCTCGCTTGGTGGCGAAGAAGCGCAAATCTGCAGGAGACCCGGCTGTATGCAATTGTACATACACACATACATACATACATATGTAAATACATGCATACTGCAGACCATACTCTATAATATGTACGTATACATTTCATATATATATATATATATATATATGTATTAAATGTATGTATATATATGTATATATATATATATATATGTATAATATATATATATATATATATATATATATATATATATATATTGGTACATCCGCCAGGAGCTGATGGGCCGGATGCTGCGTCATTGCCGGGCAAAAGCATGGACACGGCGGAGACGCAGCCGCAAGATACGCAAGGACTGCGTCGTGGCATGCCCAATCCCCGGGATGTTCCGGATCACGTGCTCGTCTCGGTCTTGGGTGATCTGGAGACTCGAACTACCATCAGTTTCGACCCCACGCTGCAGCACAAACGACGATTTCGAGCACACTGCAGTAGTACAGGCACGCATGATCAAATGTGTCATTGCATGATTCGTGCACATCTCCAATGTGTGTGTGTGTGTGTGTGTGTGTGATTTGATCGAGTGCGCGATCATATCCTTAGTTAATGCATTCTGCATGGTCCCCATGCAGGAGCCGACCTGCTCGAAGCACGGGATGCAGAGGCTCGTGATCGGTAACGTGTGTGGTGCATGCTTTAGCTTGCTGCCAACTTAAAGTTGTCCCTTTGATTGCAGGTGGCAGCTGCTGCGGCTTCCGAGCCGCCCGATGACCTGGAGTTGCAGCTGGAGCAATTGGTGGAAGAGGCTGGGCCGGGGGCTGGTGCAGAAGCGAATCAGTTTGCAGCCGATCATCGCATTCTTCTGGAAACGGGTTGCATGCATGCTCTCAGCCGCCTGAATTACCTTTGCTGCCGAATCTTGGATCTGTCGGTCAAGACCTGGGTCATTGCGTATTGTGTGGTCCACATAAATTGCAGACTGCTGTTTATACCCCATATGTTCTGGCACCGTTGCTGCAACTCCTCGTCAATAGGAGGCCGACCACAGCTCATATGTGAAGTGAGACCCCAACGAACATGCATATACGCCACAGTCAGCGGATCCTGCATCATGAAGAGAGCACCGGCTGTCACCAGAGTAGGGCAATCTTCACTCACTTCTCCGGTTTGGCTCTCTTCTTCCTTCTTCTCTGCACTCTTCTCGTACATGGCCCGCCACTGCTCCAAACCCACCGTCTCCAAATGCTCGATGATCTTGCGCCTGGACAGCTGGATGTCTTCCTCTTCATCCTCCGTATTCCAGCTGGTTTCCTCCGCGATCTCCGTTTTTCTGCGGCGCTTCGCCAAACGCATCATCAAAGCTTCCAAGCTGCGTTTCTCTGCACCGGTCAAAGACATGACGCCGAAACTGCAATCCTACATGCAATTGACTGTGTCTGTGTGTGTGTGTGCCGTGCCCAAATTTTGCTGCTATCCAACATATGACGGATCGGTCGTCAGCTGGGGCCGTCCATGCAATCGTGGCGGCGATCGGCAGCTGAGTGTGCTGCACCCGAGGTTAAAAGAATCAAGTGAGGAAGTCGTGCTATGTGAGTCGTATGCATGCAAGCTCACATTATGCATACATGTGTG